AATACACATACTATACAGAGATGCTGTATGAGAAACCAATGTGAGTTTGGAAAATTGCACAATATAAATCTATTCTAGTATACCTCAACAATGGAATTATGATCAGTAGAAATGGCCATGACATGGGACCTTTAAATATATCTTTACCATCTTGATCAATTTGCAGCCATTACATATTCACACATTTCTAAAAGCTCCCTTTCAAAGTACTGGAATCATCCAGAAATGACCTGAAAAACATTCAGAAAAACGTATATTAATGATCTAGCCACTGGTATCTCCTGATCCCAATTCCACAAAGTAGCTTTGGGATGAACTCCACTGCAGCACCTCCTCCACCATACACCTCAAGCAGTTGCACTGATAAATGCATAATCAGCTTGTACACTGTTGCACTACCATTCCCCAAGTAAGTAAAGTGTATTTTAAACAACACTGCCAGCCTTTAACATAATTTATTATTCTCTCGGGATTTGATTTGTTCTCCCATAGTGATGAGAGACATAAATATGACTTGTGGAAAATAATGCCACTTTGTACAGCATGCAGAGATGTGCTGAATTTCTATAATGTTGGCTCCCTTCATCATGTACAGTAGCTGTGGTATTGCTGTCAGATTTGTATTCTAAAAGCATGATTTAGTAGCCTTTATAGATATCACAGACAGATGTGTCACAATCTGTCTGTGTTGTGTTTTGTCTTGTCTTGATCTGTCTTTGGTTTCCTGTTTTATTTTGAAAAGTGTTCACCCCCCGTCTTGTCTGTTGCTTTCTGTCTCTGTGTTCCCTCCTACCTGATTACCCGATTGTGTTCAACCTGTGTCTTGTTTGTGTGATTAGTCTTGTGTGCATTTAAATTCTGGTTTTTCTGTCTGTCATTGTTAGATCCTTGTTTTTGTTGACTGTGTTCACGGGGGAGAGAGTTCTGCTCTATTTGTTACGTGAAGCCTTGAAATAAAGGTATGTTCTGTTAAATCTGCATTTGGGTCCTGCCTGCTTCACTCTACCCTGACATTATGTATATTAAAGTCAAGGTAAAGTATCACATTTTGGGATTTTATTGATTTCTTTGCAATTTTGTCACAGGTCTGTTTTTATTGTGTTCATTCTTCTTCTTAATTCTTTCTGTTTTGCTATCTTTGTTTAACATCCCTATATAAAAGGTTAAACAAAATCCAAATAAAACAATGTGTATTATTATTGATTTAATATAATATATGTTGTAATCTTGTCCATACGTCATTTTCACCTGCTTACCATTTAATAAAAGTCTAATCTGATCCTGTTATTAGCCAAAAGGCTTTTGAACAACAAGCATTTTGAATTTGGCTTTTATTAATGATCAAAAGAGTGAGATCTACATGAGTGGCCATCTGTTTCTCTGGTGGGGGTATGAGTTATAATCTCCTTTTTGCAAAGACTAGGGAGCATGTTCACAATATGCCTGCTGAAAAATACAACCATGATAAACATTTAATAGACTCACCTTGTCATCATCCATCCACTTTGTAGCAGACGGGGCTCAAGGGAATACAACCATACACAGTGACTGATTCACATCTGGTAAGCATGATTAATCTGACAAGAAAAGGAAAAACTGAAAAAATAAAACCTGTAATATATAAGATGTAGGCATTTTGTGCCGATGTTGTTTGGGATTTAAACCTTCAAGGGACCTTCTGGCTTCAGATTCGATGGCTTTAATTTATTGTATTTAACATTACTTAAAATGTAAGAAAGTTAAGTAATCAAAATGTCATAGTCCCTCTTAATCAATGTGTGAACCCTGCCAGTTTCTACCGCCATTTAGATTTCAGATGATGATGCTGGAACATCGTTATATATCAGTGCAGTCAAAAGCAACTTATTCTGCATTAACAGTTTGACCTGATACAAATAATTCCAATGACATTTTCAGTTTTGGAGACTTGACAAGCAGGGAGACATATTCCAGTTTGACATGTAACGGATTCTCTCCATACAGTAGATAAAAAAGGGTTTTTGAGTTTTCTTCATCCATCCTACAAAACGTTTTAGGATTCTTAGTGTTGCAGCCATTAAAAAGCACACAGAACAACTTTGTTCTGCTCCATGCAGGTTTTATGATCCCTATATGGTACAGATTCTCATATGACCCCAGGGTCGGGTTAACTTTTAGTTTAAATGTTTTTAATACAATGATTTTAACAGGCTAAAAAGAGGCATACTCGTACAATAAAGAAATGATGGTATTCTGTCGTTAGTGAAATCCAATTAACTTATAGTGCCATCAGTGGGATGTGCTACAACATGGCCAGATGTCCTCTGAAATGTCTAATACTCAGATAGACATTTTATTCCACAGGACTAGAAGGAAAATTAGTTTTAAAAGTCCAACCCCATCAGCCTAACTGCAGATGAATTATTGTCATTATACTCTATACGCGACATTTACACCACATTATGATTTAGTGCCATATTAAATGTTGATTAAGTAAATACTATTTTGTTCTAATTGGGATTTGCCTATTAAATTGTGTTTACTCTTTTTATGATGTAAAGCTTAGATTTTCTTTTCAACACACAGTCACAACCAACAGATTTTGTTTTGCATCCTACCCAGATTTATGTTTTTTGCTCCTCCAGTTGCAAAGACTGTAAGATATTAGATATTTTTTCTGTTGTCAACAAATACCATGAGTTGGCCAAGTCCAACGGGGAATTGTCCTACTAAACATTGTCTCTGTAGCTAAAGCCTGACATAGCTTATTACTCTGTGTCACAGCTCTACTGTTGTCTAAAGATTACATTGGGCCACACCACTGCACTGTGTTCATTACAACAAACATTTGCGGTATAGACTAGTTTATTTTTTAATCAGTTTCATATTCGCCATCCTAGAATTTCAAAGTAACCCTTAAAACCATTTATCTACAGATGAAAATAGTCCCAGACAAATGCACTATTGTCAGCTATACCATTTGCTAAAGACTACAGAGCCCAGGTGTAACTTGGACTTATGATGCTGATTTAAAGCACATTCAGCTGGGGATTGTTTTGACTTTCATTACGCGTATCTGCCTGCTACCCTCTATATAATGAAGGCAGAACGTGGCCAAAGATATGGAAATACTTCGCCTTTTTTACGTGACTGGATTTAAAAATGGTTTGTTTAAAATATGACAAAGACTGAGAGCTACATACAAAGTCTTAACCTATAAGAGATGAGAGGTAAGAGCTAGATGCGAGTAGAGCGCAAAGGTTCCTTACAAGCAGCCTTTCAATAATTAACCAATGTCTTAAAGTTAGACTACAGTCAGTATTTTGAAAACCAGTTCATCCATGACCTTGCTGTCCCTCTGTTTTGTGACATTTAACTCTAATACTGTATATTCAACAATAAAATTCATTTTTTAGGGATTTGTGAAATCTGGGTTATTGGGTTGTGTGACCGCAAATTGCTATGAGACACTTGCTGCTGTAATAATCATCCAGTAAATCCTAGTATAGTAGACGTCCTACACAGTCATGTTTCTCTATCTTTGTCTTTTGTTTAGCTTCGCTTCTTCATCCAACATTTTTGTTCACTCACTCTCGCTCTGTTATCCCCCTCACAACATTTCTGCCAAAGGAATCTGGCATGAGTGCTAATTTGTGATTCGACCTGGAACACCACAATATCAAAGAGTCGTTGCAGCCAGGATGTCAGCACTACAGGGAAAACATTGCAAAGGGAAAAAAACTATGTGGGGATATTTTTTAGGCAGGAAAACAATATTTGGGAAGGAAAAATTAAGGTTAAGAAAACAATGATATACATGCAAAGAAAGTGTTTAAATTGTGCATGTAATTGATATTCAACAAAGATTAATATGTGTGTGATTATGGAAGAACAGCAGCAGATGATGTATCTGTCCCTGACACTGATAAGAAATGACTTTTAGTGAAGCCTTTCAAGCTGACCAATAGTGCTGCAAATCTATGATATGTTACACACAATGCTATAATATAAAACACACACATGTAAGCATCAGCTAACTGGAGCAGTTCTGCTTTGAGATTACATCTCCCTATCATTTATGAAAAGTGCTGTCCCCTCCCAAGGGCCAGACAGTAAACAAAAATCACAAACTGGTACACTGCCACACAACAGACTGATAACACGTCTGGGAGACCGATCAAGCAACTAGAAATTATTCATGTACTCTGGTTTAGATCATGTTTGTTCTCTTGTAATCAGTCATTGTTGAAGTGATGATTAATCAGGGACTGATGCTGGAGACGATAGTGTTATTTGTAGAGATGATTCGAGGTGGTTGTTTGAGATGTCAGGATTACATTGTCTTGTTGTCGGCTTTTTGCACTTAGTGATACTGAATTGGCGGTAATGAATGAATAACATTTCCAGACAACATCCAACATAACATAGACACCTTGAACATTTCAATTTCACTTATTTACTGTATACATGTAAATAGGTTCATTTCAAGTTGAAATTAACCTATTACATGTATACATTAAATAAGTGGGCACAATAAAGTGACATCTGTTAAGTTATAAGTAGAGACATTGGGATTCATCTTTGTGGTGAATGTGAATTGTGGTGGTCTTCCTGAGAATATAATTGTAGTTATTTATCAGTTAATTTGGTCAACAAGAAACATACATTTATTTTTTTGCAACAATTATTAATGGAGCGATAGCTATTAATAATAATAATGATTTTATTAATTTTGTATTTCGATTTAATTTTAACTGGTAACGTACATACCCAATTCCATGGATGTAATACATTCAGTAATTAATCCTGTGCGCTAAGTATTTTTACTATTATTATTTTGATAATTTTTACAATAATTATTATGTTTTTATAATTATTATAAGATATTTATTTATTATTTATTTGTTTTGTGTTGTGTTTATTTTTAACTGGAAGCTTACTTACCATCCATGGAAGTATTACATCCGGAAGTGAGTCCTGTGCGCTTCGTAAATCCACCACTGGACGTCGCCATTGTTCTGCTTCCTTCTTCCTACGAGCCCAGTTTGCCATCTGCTGAGCGATCACGTGACACATCTGTCAGGGGACAGCATGGCGGACATGCATGTGGAGCTTCAAAACAAATTGCACCGACTGTCCAGCTAACCCAGCCGCGAGAAACATCCATACCGCGCGTAAAGACGGGCCGTCGGTGCCCGAACAGACCGCAGGATGGACGAGGCGAACAAACTCCAGTTCCCGTCTCTGCCCGCGACCAAAGAGGACCTTTTGGTGAGGCAGCCTGCTTGTCCGGCTAATGCGAGCTAACTACACTCCTGCAGTATTGTCTTGGAAGCTCAAATACGCTCAGGAAATGCTGTACAATTTGGGACATTACGCAGAAGTGTTATTCCGTTTCACATGCTCGTATTTTGTTGCCTGTGTCGATGGCTGCATAGCGTTACTGTTCTCACACTAATCCAACACTCAGTAGCATAGTCTCCAAACATTAGCCTATGTCCACAAAGTACACCGGTGCTCATTCCCCACCCTGCCTGCTGGCTGAAATCCCTCCAAACTTCCCTCGGTGCTAACCTCGTTTTTATTTCCCCATTTTACAGGACTGGGCTTATCCAATGAGAAGAGAAATGCAGGTATGTAGATATTCTGTACAGAGAAGGATCATACTTGGCAGTGTTTCACTATGCACCAAATCTGTGGATTCACACATTTTAAAGCCGTTCTTAAAAGTATCTTTATTGTTAAAATATTTTCCATCAATCATCCAACTCAATTACAGGCTAGTGTGTTAGTTTAAAAATATGAGTTGCTATTTAAGGGTGTGGCCATATTTTAAGGATGACAAATTCTGCAGTCCAAAGTAATGATTGCCAAATGATTTACTGAAGATGTTTTTTTACATAATAAGAAGTATTTTTGTTTTCGTATAGAGTATAACAGTGAAGCCCAGCATTTAATGCCAATTACATTATTTTACACATGCTTTGAAATCATTTACAATGTTGGGACTCAATCTTTAAAATATTCCTATAAACATATTAACTTCTTGCTGATATCAACACATTGCCCAGTGTTATACCTGAGATCAAAGTTGTTAAGGAAGCCTGATATTTAAAGGTTTATATAGTAGACATACTGGCTGTGTGAACTTATATCCAGGTACAATTTGTGTGTGGACATGCATATACAAGTAAATAAGACATGTTTGTAATAGGGCTTTCCTCTCCTAATTGTATAAACTGATGCTAGGTTTGGGTAGTTATTACTGACGGTGTTGTTGTTGATGTCTTGCTCTATATTTACTTTCAGGAGATCGTACCAGGACTCTTTTTAGGTCCCTACTCTGCTGCAATGAAAAGCAAGGTAATTCTTTTACAGAACTTAAAGTTGCAATAGACACAGCTTTTAACTTCTCCTTTCCCAGTGATTCAAATGGTATCATTGGTATCACACACTTTCCTTATTGGGTTGAGCTTTTGATTCTATATGATGAATTACTGTAGGTCTTTTCCTCCTCTGGGCTCTTTCTGTTTTCCTCCATACATTATCAACATCACAGTAATATTAAGGTACAAATGACTCCATCAGTTAAACCACTACCAGGGTTATAAATACAAATAAATTGTGTTATTATCTGCGAGATGTTTGACATATCAATCTAAACACAGATTGTGTCATTCATTAAGCATTACATAACTTTATAATGATAACTAAAAGCAAAGAACATGTTTATTGTCAATTTACACTAATGGTATTAAGAGACAGTGACACGGAGAAAGTTATTTGCTTAAGTTATTGTTGCTCATATTGCTTTTCTTTTTCTTTGTGTCTAGCTGCCAATTCTTGAGAGACAGGGCATAACGCACGTTGTGTGTGTTCGCCAAGACATTGAAGCCAATTTTATCAAACCTAATTTCCCTCATTCATTTAGGTAAGTAAGAATTCTTGTGATCTGTGCACTCTGCTAGAAGATATATGCATGTTTCTGTTATTTGAAGTGATTTCTGGCTAACATATCTTGTTGCCTCTTTGCAGATACCTTGTGTTAGATATTGCGGACAATCCAGTGGAAAATATAATACGATGTTTCCCTTCAGTGAGTTACAAAGTGGGCTTTTACTTCCCTTCTTTGCAAGTGTTTGACTGACTAGAAGCAATGACCTTTACAAAATGCCTGATGTACTGTCATTCAATTCCCTCCTAACAGACTAAAGAATTTATTGACGGCTGCTTAGCAACAGGAGGTAAGGATTCGTGCAGTTTCCATTTTTCATACTTAAGAGCGTCAAGTAGAAAAAAAAGTATTTCATCATCAATCTCGTGTATTATTCTTTTAGGAAAGGTACTGCTTCATGGTAATGCAGGGATATCAAGAAGGTGATTTGGTTATACAAGTAATGCATTGGCCATCAGTATGCAATTTCCCTAACATATTACTGCTTAAGTCTTTCTGTATATCATTGGGTATTGTATTTATAACTTTCTTTAAACCAAATTGCAGCTGTGGCTAAAATGGTGTCTCCTTTTTTCATTCTTTCAGTGCTGCCTTAGTGATTGCATACCTTATGGAAACATTTGGGATGAAATACAGGTGATTTAATTTGTTCACATCTGATTATGTCTTTCTATTGTACCCCATTAGATTAAATTGTTGAGTTTGATTCAAGTATAAAGGATTTAGTTGAACATATCATTGAATTTTTGTATTGGACAACACTGTATATGCCATGCGTTAAGTATAAAACCACGAAAAAAAGTTGTAATGGTGTGCAAGTTTATGAAACATACTGTTGCATAATTGGTAGGATGTAAAATGTAACTTTATAGAAGCACAAGTATATTCACATTTGCTGCAGCTGAAATGATAACACAAAAGTGAATGTTATCAGTATTTGTTTCCGTTCTAACAGTTTGCAGTATCTCTTGGTGCTGTGGTTGTAATGTTCTAACATGTACTCTATAGGGATGCATTCAGCCACGTCCAGGAGAGAAGGTTCTGCATCAACCCCAACGTGGGCTTTGTGCATCAGCTCCAGGTAAGACTTTGATTTCTCACACTATGATCAATCATCATGAAAGTCCAATAAATAAGTAAACATTTGAATTCTTTATTATTGTAACTAAATGCACAACTAACTTTTTAGTCTACTTAATAAACTGTCCTGAGATACTTTACTTTAAAGGCTGTTTCAGGCTGTCATCTCACAGTGTGTGTTCTTATTCTGAGCCACTAGCTTCAGATGTGAAACTGCAAAAAGGATTTCCTTATCTTTGCGTATACATGTTCAATCTCTGCAATCAATCAATTTGTCTAGCATCTTTCATACGGATAAGTGCAGTTCAAATTGCTTCAAAAGATTGCAGAATGACAAGCACAAAGTAGACAGAACTAATCAAAACAACTGAAACATTTTGAGACCAATGCATGAACAAACATGAAATTGTAAAACGTATATAAAATAAATAAAGGGTTATAGAAGTCAAACTGTGTGAAATAAATATCAGGATAATAAAAAAATGTATTAGTATTCAACTTTTAATACAATATATGTGTTCAAACATTAAAACAGGATAAATCAGCTGTCAGATCCTCAGGCAAATATGTCCTGCAAATCAAAGTATAAAAACTAAACGTCCTCAGACCTCCATTTTAGAACAACCAACAGATTTGTGCCTGAGGGGCTGCACTGTTTCACATAAACACAGAAAGCATCTGAAATATTCATGCTGGTGCAAACACTACTTTACTGCTTTAAAAACAGTCAAATCATTTTAAATTCAATACAGGATCTGACAGGCAAATGAAATGACAGGCCTAATGTTTTAGTTCTCTTTCTGCGCCTGGACAGAACGCAGAGTAGGGTTCACTGCAGTTACTCCAGTGACAGCCCACTCTAGACATTTCACCTTCAGTGGAAGATTTATTCCAAAATTCACTAAAGAGCACCACAGGAAGTCATTCTCACCTGTGGCCTGCAGACTCCTAAACTCCCTTAGAGCCAGTCTGAGCCAATTAACTGGCACTGGGACTAACCTCACCAATCAGCAGCTTAAACCATCTTAAACTGTGCAATACGGATAATACTCACTGTTGGCTGTATGTGCAATTATTCAACTTTAAAACACTGGTGATTTGAATCTCAAATTAGGCTGGTTTTGTTTTGCTAGAAAAACAGAAATCCATTGTTGATTTCATACCATAATGTATTCATCTTTTCTCAATGTCATGGATTTTCCTTTTTACATTACATAAAATAAACAAACATTCACACACATGCCCTCGAGAAGCGTTATTCATTCATTTTATTCTAACATGGAGCAACTGTCACAAAACTAAATGTAGTATTTTATTTTATAGGAATATGAAGCGATCTACTTAGCCAAGTTGACCATTAAGATGATGTCCCCGATGCAGCTGGGCCGGTCCTTCTCCTTACAAGCTGGGATGACAGGTTTGTACACAATGTACCGCTCAGCCACACCCTTCCCCTTGTTTTTGATTCACTGTCAGACTATTTGAGAAAGCATATGAAACAGGTTTGATGCGTTCCAGGAAGGGAGTAGCATTAGCTGTTCGTTTAGCACATTGTTGAGACTGACTTACAGGATTGCTGACTTAATTTATCACCAGCGTTTCGTTATTGATGATGATTAAGAGACAGTAGCTCCTAATGGTTATAGTTTTTCTTTGAATCGACAAGGAGGCTGGCTCTCATTCGCTAGAAAACCAGCAAATCCATTGTGGGTGATTTCATAACTTACTGCATCCTCTTTCTCAATGTCATGATTTTTTCTGTTTACAAGACAGTAAGAGAAACTAATGTTCACCTACACTTGGAAAATATCTCATTATTTTTTATTATAATTGAATTATTTCTGTTTCAGGAAGCCGTAAGCGCAGCCTGGAGGAAGATGAGGACTTTGGGTCGATGCATGTCACAGCAGCGCACAACGGATGAGCTTTACTGATATTTAGCCGCGTGGCGCAGTGCACTCCATTTTTTTCCACATTTTAAATGGGATTAAAAATGTTGTAAATATTTGAACTTTTTCTAAGGGGAAGGGACCGGGGTGGGGGGGGCGCTCGTGTCTGAGACATGCAGCACTGTCGGGGAACGGGACGATTTGATAACTCCTTTTTTTTCTCAAGCTGAATGCACTGATGGGAGATTTTTTGCAGTTTTATAGTATTTAAAGCATTTTGCATTTGCAGCGGGACAGTATTGCAATAATGCACTTTCGATACTTGAATTTGTGTAGAAGACGAGAAGGGGGCGGCTGGCAAAATGGAAAGTAGCTAGGACGCCGCCCGGTGGAGGACACGAAGAGAGGAAAAGCTAATGCCTTTATTTTGGGAGTAATAGGATTAAGGACTAATATCAGGCTTAATGTGGTATAGTAATGAATGGAAAAATAACAACTCACTGCTTAATAAAAAGAGTCTGACTGAGTACTGGGTTTTTATTCCTATAAAAAATATTTCCAGTATTGTTTCTAATAATGGAATGTTACTTTTTTTTTAAGGGACAAATTCTACAGTAAAATAAGTTGTACTTTTTTAGACCATGTATTTCAGTTGCCATGGAAAAAACGGTCACTTTATTTTATTGAGGACTTTTAGTTTATTATCCTACATATTGTTTAATGCCTTTTTTTAAAGGCTTGAATTCATTTTGAACAACTTTGCGCAGACGACCGTGCCTACGTCAACCACCTCTCCCCTTCAAGACATCATCTGCGGTCACCGAAACCTGATAAGAATGTGTGTGTACAAAACGCAGCAAACTCTTACTGATATGTGCTGTGTCCAGGCTCAAGGGCGTATGGCACTCTCAACTCTTTCCAGGACATGCCGGGGCCCTGCCTGCCAGTAGCTTTGCTGATATCTGTGTTGATAGGTAATAGATTGAGAACGGTGAATCAGCTTAGAAACGAAGCGCTCAAATGCTTGTGTGAGTTTATCAAATGTAGCAGTGACTCCATGTCAGCCACAGCTTGTCACAAAAAATCTGACTGATAGTGTATTTAACAAACTTAAACTAGCTTTATTAAATGTCAGGTCATTGGCGGGAAAAACGTTTTTAATCAATGATTTTATCACTGAGCACAATCTCGATTTTATGTTTTTAACGGAAACTTGGATTGAATAAAATAACAGTGCAGCTGTTCTTATCGAATCAACCCCTCCCAACTTTAGTTTTATGAATCAGGAAAGAATGCATAAGAAAGGAGGTGGAGTTGCTATTTTGTTTAATGATTCCCTTCAATGCAGGAAGACATCTTATGGGAACTTTGCTTCTTTTGAATATGTGGCCCTTCAGCTGAAATGCTCCTCTCGAGCTCTGTTCCTAAATATCTATAGACCACCCAAATACTGTGCAAGCTTTTTTGATGACTTTACTGAACTGCTGTCTATAGTGTGTATTGACTTTGACCGTCTAGTCATTGTTGGTGATTTTAACATCCATGTTGACAACCCCCAGGACAGAGGGGCTAAAGAACTGTTTTGTGTTCTTGATAACTATGGACTGACTCAGCATGTGACGGAGCCCACGCACAATAAGGGGCACACTCAGGACTTAATTATCTCTCCGGGTCTGAATATCTCAAAGGTTGTGATGACTGATGTTGACCATTCCTGTGTTTTCTTTGAGAGCTCTATTTCTGTTCACAAAAATGTTCAAAAAGAGGTAACCACAAAGCGATATTTAACTGAAAATACTAGGGAAATGTTTACTCAGAATTGTTCTTCCACACTTGCCCCTACTAACATCTCAGTAAATGAGCTAGTAGATCATTTTTTATTAAAAAATAAAAAAATTATAGATGCTAAGGTAAAGGAAGTGACTGGCAAGAAAATATCTCCATGGAGAAAGGCCATGACCGTGAAAACAGAAAAAAAGAGTGTCGAAAAGCTGAACGTAGGTGGCGAAAAACCAATCTCCAGGTTCCTTTTGAAATCTATAAAGAGAGACTTGGCTTTTATAATTTGGAATTGAAAATTGCACGACAGTCTTTCTTCTCTGACATCATTGCCAAAAACAACGCACGTGCCTTGTTTGCTACCGTCAACAGACTAACAAACCCCCCAGTGTCAGTAGCCTCTGAATTTCTATCCACCAGGGCCTGCAATGAATTTGCCTCCTTCTTCACTGACAAAATTCTGAAAATTAGACAAGCAGCCAGTGCCTCTGCATCAGGTACAGCAAATGTTTTGTCCCTGTGTCCACTTAAAATCAATTCAGACATCATGACACAATTCCATCAGATTAATGATAAAAACCTAGAGGACATTATACAACTTCTGAAATCCTCCTCCTGCTGCCTTGATATTATTCCAACAGGATTTTTCAAAAATGTTTTTCATTGCATGGCCTCAGATCTACTTCATATAGTAAACAAGTCTCTTCACTCAGGTGTTTTTCCACAGGCCCTGAAAACTGCAGTCATTAAACCACTCTTAAAAAAGAATAATCTAGACGCTTCAGTAATGAACAATTACAGGCCCATATCAAACCTGCCATTTTTTGGTAAAATCATTGAAAAAGTAGTTTTTCAACAGTTGAGTAACTTCTTGCTTTTAAATAACTGTTTGGATGTGTTCCAGTCAGGATTTCGACCAAACCACAGCACTGAGACTGCCCTTGTAAAGGTCTTCAATGACATCCACTTAAACACAGACAGTGGCAGAACTTCAGTGTTAGTATTATTAGATCTCAGTGCTGCGTTTGACACTGTTGACCACAACATATTACTAGACCGACTGGAAAACTGGGTGGGACTTTCGGAAACAGTTCTAAATTGGTTTGAATCCTACTTAAAGGACAGAAACAACTTTGTTTCTATAGGTAAATACACATCTGAGTTGACAAATATGACATGTGGGGTACCTCAAGGCTCCATCTTGGGGCCTCTTCTCTTTAACATCTACATGCTACCACTGACTCAGATAATGAAAAACAACAAAATAAGTTGCCATAGCTATGCGGATGACACCCAAATTTACATAACCATTTCACCAGGAGACTATTCTCCAATTAAAACACTGAGTAAGTGCATTGAACAAATCAATGACTGGATGTGTCAGAAATGTATCCAATTAAACAAAGATAAAACTGAGGTAATGGTTTTTGGAGCCAAGGCAGAACGTATAAAAGTTAGCGCAGAGCTTCAGTCTGCAATGTTCAAAACAACAGATAAAGCCAGAAATCTAGGTGTAGTCATGGACTCTGACCTGAGTTTCAACAGTCACATTAAAACAGTTACTAAATCAGCCTACTATCACCTAAAGAACATATCTAGGATAAAAAGACTAATGTCACAGCAGGATTTGGAAAAACGTGTCCATGCTTTTATCTTCAGTAGACTCGACTACTGTAATGGTGTCTTCACAGGTCTCACTAAAAACTCTATTAGAAAGCTGCAGCTGATTCAGAACGCCGCTGCTCAAGTCCTCACTAACACTAAGAAAGTGGATCACATCACTCCTGTTCTGAAGTCTTTACACTGGCTTCCTGTATGTCAAAGAATTGATTTCAAAATATTGCTGCTGGTTTATAAAGCTTTGAATGGTTTAGGCCCAAAATACATGTCTGACCTCCTGCTAAATTATGAACCATCCAGAACTCTCAGGTCTTCAGGGACTGGTCAGCTTTCTGTCCCCAGAGTCAGAACTAAACACAGAGAAGCAGCGTTCAGTTATTATGCTCCAAATATCTGGAACAAACTACCAGAAACCTGCAGGTCCACTACAACTCTTACTACTTTTAAATCCAGGCTGAAGACTTTTCTTTTTGCCACTGCTTTTAATTGATATATTCATATCTTAAACTGCACTGTAACTTTTATTATCTTTGCTTTTTAATGCCATTTTCTTAATGTCTTTCATTTTTGTAAAGCACTTTGAATTGCCTTGTGTTGAGTCCCCCCAAAGGTAGTTAAAGTCATTTTTGGGGTTAAAGTCCCCTCATAGGTGGTTAAAGTCCCCTACGTGTGCCGTTTTGGTTAAAAGACCCTGGTTCACGAAGGATACCAATAAAGTCCTAGAAAGACAAGGTAAACTTAACTATGTGCATTTAAAAATAAAAAAGAGGAATAGTTTTGACGAAAACTAAAAGGTACCATGGGGTCAGATTATAATTTTCCAAAGGGGGGTTCGTTCAGATGTGTGTATCTCACACTGCACTGTAACTGTGATTCATGTATCATTGCTTTTAAATTAGTGTTTTTAGATATCATTTCATAATATGTTTCTTAAATGCTATTAATGTCTTTCATTTTTGTAAAGCACTTTGAATTGCCTTGTCTTGAAATGTGCTATATAAATAAACTTGCCTTGCCTTGGAATTGTTGCATCAGAATTGATGTAAAAAACATGGTCGAGTTGCTTTCTTTTTCTAAATTCTTTGCAAGGCAGAGACCAACTCATCGTGCTGTGATGTATCTTCATGCTTAGAGATCCATTTGATATATAGATTGAAATAATTTGCCACAACTATAAGAAGACATTCATATAAAACTAATGTGTGTGCATTTGAATTAGTAGAAAAATAGGAAAACAAAACACAGTAGATCATAGAATATATTATGTGATTATTTCATATTTGGAAAATAAATTACATTAAATATGTACCCCTGTTCTCCAGAATAACAGCATAATTATAAAACTTAAATAATAGTCCATTAATAAAACTCTTTTATCCATTTCCCATCACAAAATGTTTCTTTCACCTGTTCCTATCACACCTGGGATCAAAATTCAAATGTCGGCCAAATACAAAACTTTTGTTAATTCCTCACCACTGAAGAACTTTTTTGTTCACTAGAAATATTATACATTATACATTATAACAGTCTTGTCTTGATATTATTGATTCATGTCTTGTAGTGTTAAAACCCTCATTAGTTATCCAGCAACAGTACTGTCAAGCATATAGAGCACTTTGTATCAAAGAACATATTATAAAAAGAAACACAACTTAAATTTCATCTATAAATCCTAAGCAATTGTATTTACTGGCAATTGGATAAGTCATAAAGATCATTATTTTCTTAGTAAGTTCCCAGAAAACCACTTATTGTTAAAGAAACACAATGAGAAGACGTTTCTTCGGATGTTGGAGGAAGATGATGGCAGAGCTGCACCCTGGTGAGGTCGCTATGGTTACCAAAGGGGTGGAGGATGCTGTTGTACCGTACGGCTTCAAGGTCCATTTATGTTTACTCAGTGTTGAGTTCAGGATCACAACCACTGACTCATCCTTGGCCAGCTCTCCTAATTCGTAAGACATTTTGTTTTGAGGTTTCAGCGAGTAGATAAAGGTGTGGTCCATCCCCTCCAAAAACTGAGGTTTAAAGCTGCTGCTGTCCTTAGTTGGGAAATCGACACTGCATGTAAGTCTCGTGCGATGCGGTGTAGCCAAACTTTTGGTAGAAAGCCACATTGGTGGGTGAACATTCAAGTGTGATTTTGTAGCATTCCAGTTTTTTGCTGAGAAGAGTAAGAGCTGAAACCAACCTACAGGGACAGAGAGAAAACAACAAAGAGGAAAATGAAAATAAAGCTCATTAAAATCCTAAATAACTGCATTATGTTTGTGATGTTTGATTTGTGGGACATTACATTACATTGCATTTAGCTGACGCTTTTATCCAAAGCGACTTACAATAAGTGCATTCGACCAAGAAGATACAAACTTGAAGAAAACAGAATCATATAAGTACATCAGGTTTTGTATTATTAACATTTTAAACTGTATACCCCGGTTATCTAGGCCCTTTGTTTTGTTTAATGTATACCCCGTTTATCTAGGCCCTTCTTGTTTTTTGTTTGATGTATATATGTCACACTGTAGGACTGCGGGAAACGATATTTCGATATTTCTGGATGTACAACATGTAGAATTCTTGACAATAAAGCTGACTTTGACTTTGAGGTTTCATAGAGCCAAAACATTTCAAGTGCTACTCAACTAGCTTTGACAAAGAGAAGGTTCTCTATACTCACAGTTTACCCAGCTGCTTCCCTCTGCACACGTCACTGACTACCACTTCCTCCACCCGGCCTCTCTATAAATGAAACAGAATAGAGGATATCCATTAAAAACATTATGGTTATCATGCAAATTGAATGTCCAAAGTTATAAGTGAACCAAAACGTTTTTGGAACTTTTCTTATGGTTAGGAACAATGGTGATACTAGTCACCATTCTGATAACCACTTCATTAATAAGTAACTTCTTTAGAGGAAATTAAAATAGCTTTACGGGATGTAGTTTACCTTAGCACAGGAGTGGATGAATTTATGTTCTGTGATCAAGGTGGCTGTGGCAACGATCTGTCTCAGGTTTGTGTCCTCCACCACAACAACGTAGTAATCTCCTGACTTCTTCATATGATCAAACTTCCCTGGAAGCAATCAGATAATAAACAGTTTAGTTCACTGATCTTTTCTTACACAGGATTGTATATAAAGTTCTTTTTTTAGGATAAGGGTTCTCTCTCTTCTCAAATATGTGATCTAACACATGTCAAATATGTTTGTGTTGTGATTGTTTTGGCACAAGATGCAAGTTGGTAACACTTTCGGATTTTAAATATGAAAACTGCAAGTGGTAAATGTAGCATTATGCTAAGCACGACTTACTCGTGAACTGCTCTGGTGTGACGTCCCCCGTTGTGGTGAGTTGAGATAAAACTTTGAAGAATCCTAGAACACAAAAACTGTTATTAAATTATATAAATGTTAAATTAAAATATGAAATTCCCAAGATCCTCCATATACAGTAGGATGCCATGGGACAACAAACATGCTTTCCACATCAAATGCTGGTCTGTAATATGTTGTGTATGCAGTCTTTGACTCACCCCTGTGGAAGTCTGCCGTGCAGAGGGGCCTTAGCACCAGGCCCTCCCCCGGGCTGGAGGGAGAGATGGGGGGAGAGAAAGGGACAGTGTTGCTACTCCAGTCCAGCTCCTGGAGGAGGGAGGGCTCAAAAATTGGAGTCTCATTTAGCAGCATTCCACAATCTCTTCTATGGAAACACACATAGGCAGTAAGTAACCGGTAAGTCCACCAACACACACCCATGACAAATGGTATATGGAAAATACAGAAAATATGACACACAGAATATATCAGGCCATCAGACTGGATTTGTCTGTTCTAAATCACATAGAACTTTGACCTGACAAATAAAGTTTCACATGGTAAAAAAAGTTGTCATTACTTTACTGCCATACTCCAGGAGTTGATAAGCTAGTTGGACAAGGAAACACTTATATATTAATTTCAATGTTGATCATCTTACAATAATACATTATAAAGTGATTTCCGTCTTTAACATTCTGTAAGGTCTGTGCTAAAGCCTGACCTTACAGCATTCATACATTATTTTTCTTTCCAGGATCTGGCCCAGGATATCTAATCTGGGGAGGGACTGTCCTACTAAATGTTTCCTCCTCATCTAAACTATCTAACTATGACTAATGCGTCATAATTCTAGTTTCCATGGCAGCAAAACACAATTACTATGGTTTACCACGTCATGTTAATTTAAATTAGTTGTATTATTATTATTATGTGTATCCCCTTCTGATGTAGCCTTTTTACTTTTATTCATTCAAATGGTATGGCTCATATCAATGAAGAAAAACACAATTACTATTCAGCGGTTTCCTCCTTCCCTGTGTTTACCTAGAGTAATGTACCTTGTCTAACATTTGGCTTTACTGCTTATATTAAACATGATTATCAAATAAAGTTACACTCCTATGTTTAAAGGGTAGTGTTTTGTCTAGCTAACGTTAGCATCACACAACAAGTCTAATACTGTCATTACTATAGTTAATTAAGTAGGAAGCTAAACAACTGCATTGATATATTTTTTAAGCGTCATACTTTTCTCTTGTATCCTGTCAAACAGCTTCAAGAAGCCACCTACACACGAGTAAACTATGTATAGCTTAGACAGCGTCAGAGCTGAAGTTCACATAAGCGTCACCCATTCATCCATGGCGTTACCCCCAAAGGCTAATCCGCTAGCTAGCTATTGTAATCACTTACCTGTGGCAAACACACCCGAAAGATGGTCCAATAAAGTATTCCCAGAGTGAGATAAATGAATGACAACCGGTGTAGGAGATTAGCTGGTGATCGTCCAGTGTGTTGGATAGAGGCGTCTTTGAGGACCCACTGTGGACGGACCAGGAAATGGAAAGTGTGATCGCTTCGACTCTCTTTCACAGCTCGTTCTCTTTATACACGTGTGGTTCACATTAATCTTTTAGTATATTAATGGTATGGTATATTAGCCTCCATAGGAATACTTTTATCCGCATTCAGTACGCGTTTTAAGATGTCGATATCAGGACGCTTACAGATAGGACTAGACAGTATAGGTGACTGTGGAGATGCCTGTTCAGAACTGTGCGAACTTTATTGAATCGTTTAAAACGTGTCATTGTTGACAGACTTATTACCAGACATCGTTCTTACTGTGATGACAAGCAGGTTTGATACCCGTATATACCTTCATACAGCCTATACGTGAAGCACAGGTTGTGTGATCGGGTACGGATCGGGTAGTGATAATAAGCACACGTGGCTGATCTGTTGGCTGCTACTGTTGGCCGATGACGTCAGTAAATGCATGCAAATGCATCAGTAAAAGTACACACCCCTCTCAGATAGTAACTTTTTCTGGATATAACAAGTATGAACACTGTTATGTGGGATTAAGATGTGTTTACAGAAAGCAAGTGTTATTGTTTATGAAGGCAAACATTATATGTGCTGTTTGGTTGTGTTATTTATTTTAAATCTTCTCATTGTATATGGAGTGTTTTATATTCATAAATGCAAATGTTCTGACTTGTTACCTAATATTCACCAGTACAATAAAATAATGAAAATTCAGAATTCAGTTTTATAGTGATCTAAAATGCAATACAAATATATTTAAAGTGGACCTATCATGCTATATTTGAATAATATAGTGTAGGACCATACCTATATAAGGCATATTTATACTTTTTTTTCCTTCAAAATACCAAACAGATCATGCATTTTAGCCATGCCTCATTTCGCTCAATTTGAAAAATGTTAGCTCTGTTTTTGCAAGGGTTGATTCTGTGAGCAACAGCACCATCTACAGGCCTGGCATATGTACTACAGCGTCTCCAGCGCTTTCGAACGGCAATGCCGTGGTTGTCTCCTCCTGATTGGTGGAGTTGGCCCAATAGCCGTAGCGCCACCGTCCTGACGTCAGGACAGTGTTCAAATCTGGATCAGTTTTTATCAGATCCGTTGCAGCCCCTTTTTTAGAGATTTGGGTATGGAGGAAAATAGAGAGGGTTGTGTTTTCTGACACTTGGTGAGTTCCCTGGAACACCGGGGACACATATTCATGTATAAAAGACGTACAAAAGTGCATTTTGCATGATAGGTCCCCTTTAAGTTAAATATGCATATACCTCTTTTAATACAATTTTTAACAAACTATTCCTGATATTTTGTTAACTTTTTAAGCATTTAATTAAAGAACTAAAATAAAAGTAAACTGATATTAACAGAAACCATTTCATATTTGATCAGAGACTGATATATGACTCCAATCAGTCATTTAGTCTGATTGTCTGTCAGAGCAGTCACACGCACACATTAGACTAAACTCAAAGGTCCAATGTATAAATACTGGCCACTACTCATTGGGAAGGCTTCACTATTACTTATACAATTTGATTTACATTAGCAAAGGTGGTGAACATTAACAAAGCATCAACAAAGGTGGGTTTGTCTCGATACAAAATATTAAATTACCATGTTTCGTTAAAAAGCTGTAGAAGCTCTGTTTATTAAGTCTTTTGTATTCACATATTTTACAAAAACTACATTTACAGAAATTATCCATAACCGAACCAATCTTGATTTAGGCACAAACATACAGGAAAGCTCAGTCCAAAAAGTTCTGTCATTAATAGTTATGAAAGATAACCAGGAAAATATATCATGGATATTAAGAGGAAATTAAACAAAATAGTCCAATTTCTTTTTGTAAATTGTGACAAATTGAAATCTGAAATCAAAAATCCTATACTGTATCATCTTACAACACCTTCAAAACAGAAATAAACACAAAGTAGAAATCACACTTCAGCTTTAAGTGGAAGTCTGTGGGCTGTTCTTTGGGATAAGTAGAAGGAAACAAAAGCATTTATTCATGCGCATTTCACCTCACTGCCCTTGCACTCTTATAACAAAAAATTAAACTAATAACAAACAGTGTCCATATTTTATGTCCATTGATAACAAACTTCAGATTCAGTGATATTTGACAATACTGGAAAGGATGTGCATCTGCTTTTCATTCATGGCGTGTTGTGTCTTTCCACCCTCCTTCCTCAGCAGCAGCAGCAGCTTGTATTTGGGACTGATGTGATGTGGGTATTTTTCCTGTGTTCTTCATTTTTGATGGAATTGTAAACCTGTGTTCACTGATTGTATTTATTTTAAGTTTAGTTTAATTGTTGGCTTAAGTTAGAGGGAGGGGGCCCAGATCACACGGAGTCTTCCTTCTTCATGTTCATTTTGGCCAGCCCTCGAGTCTTCTGCTAGTAGACTTTACTGTTAGTTATGTTTAAAGATTAATTAAGCTACTCTTAATGTCTTTTGGTTATTCTAGGTATTTTTATAAAAGTGATTCTCTTGGGTTGTAACAACTGCACTACTTAAAAATATATTTAAGCAGAGGATGATTATGTCCCTTACATGTTATAAACTAGCATTCCTCAATGGGATTAGTCAAAGGCAGATACGATCATTAAAAAAGCAAAAGATTCTCAGTCTTTCAGGTAATTAAATATCCAGAACTAATAAGTCAAAAGGACAGTGAACTTGTTGTCGACTCTTGATTAAGTACTGCTAATTCTGCTGCCAAAGCCTCTTAAATGAGTAGCAAAGAGTCTTCCAGCAAGTAGAGCTGTCACAGACCAACAATTTCTACTTGCACTTTCGTTCCAAAATGATGGACACAAATGACCCACTGTTATATTCAGTAGAAAAGTATATGATCTTATTAAGAGAGAACTGACCATTTTGAGATGCTAGTTAAAGACTGAGAGAATGACACCAGTTGTACAAAATATACTACACCCCGTGTTGCCTATATGCATCTCAAGCAAACCGTATTAGAAAAACTAAGATGTACATAACAAAACTGGTTGCAATGGATGATATCTCACCCTAAATACAGAACCCATGTGGGTCAAAAACACTTTGTCTGCAGCATTATGTTGATAGGAACATTCATATTTGACAGAAAGGCTGAACAATACTAAAGTGACATTCTCTTACTCCAAGGTAAGAAATAAGAACATGTGATTTTGCCTACAGTTAATTCACAGTCGAAACCCATAAAATAATAACGCACAAATACATCAGATGAGTTTCTCCACTCAGAATACGTAGCTGTTCGCCATTAGCAAAACAAGTGAAAATAAAGTCTGATAAAAGGAAAACAAACAAAGACCCAAATAGCTTTTACCTAGTAAAGACACCTTCAAACCCCCTTCTCTCTGAATGCAAAGCATGCTCATTTCTGACAGCCAGTCCTAAATGTGGCAGGAACTGACTCCCTGCTGAAGCTGGTGGTTCAATGTGTGGCACGTGAATAAAGGGCAATGCAACCTTGCATTTCTTGACTTGCACCCATCAATTGATATACTGTTCCAAACACTCTGGAATCAGTAATGCAGAGGCCATTCACAATAGTCCCACCTTATTAAGGCAGCTCGAAACAGTCCAAAGGCCATGTTAGCAATGCTTTTTAATTATGGTTTTGAATAGTTGATAACCACTGACTGTATACCAAATGGAGCAGGGTTGAAATAGCTCTGTCTGTGCCTCTTGTGATGATGATGTGGTAGACTCTCCTGCTGAAAACAATCTGTGCCTCAGGGTGCTGGGTCTTGTTGACTCTGCATGCGTCTCTCTGCAGCTGCTGCCATGGTTCTACGTCTCAACGTAGTCAAGTTCAATTCTGGACCAGTGTCCTCCTCCTCCTCTTCCTCCTCCTCCTCCTCCTCCAGTTCAGGCAAATCCACGTCCGGATCCTCTGGACTGTTGTACATATATCTCCTAGAAGGGAGTAATAAACAACATACAGCATGATCATGGGAACAGAACATGGTTTTTTATTTTTAAATGGGGAAAAAGGCAACCATAAATGTCTACCATTTGTGAACAGAGGTTCTACTTATTAGTCGTGTACAGATTAGCTATTCTGGTAGCCAAATAAAGACGGCTTTTAAAATTGTTTCATGCGTCTGTTTCTTCCACAGACCAAGACAAACTCGACCCACAAAGAAGGGTCTATTTCCCAAAACACAATTTCTACAGCTGAGCTACGATGCATAATCACAGTCACATTAAATATATAACCCTAGCCAAGCAGCACATTCTATGAGTTATAAAATAAGCAGTGTGTATGTCCCAACCTGCGAGCCTGCTGGACCATCTCTTCTTTCCTCTGCCTCAACATCTTCTGCCTCTCTTCAGCCGACTTAGAGAAGCGACTTCCTCTGACCTCCATGGTTTCCGCCTCACTGAGGCCCGGCTCAGCTGCCTCACTGGACCCCTCCTGCCCATTAGACTCAGAGTTCAGCTGTGAAGGGGCACGCTCTATTGCCTGATGAAAGAAACAAATACTTTATTATGTGACAAATTGTTGCAATCTGCCTTTAGGTAAACCAAAGGGAAGTCAAACAGAGATCCAAGAAATATTTGACTGACCTGTGTCGGGAAAGGCACCTGGATGCGTCCCTCCAGGATGTTGTCAGTGGTGACCTCCACAGAGCGGGTCAACTGCAGATCCTGCATCACCAGGTAGGGGGGCACCTGAGGGAACATCTCCTGGATCTGATGGGCCTGATGACCAGAAGGTTCATCAAACATTAAAAAAGCAATAGGGACATTATTTAGAGAGTGATTATTGGAGATGGAAAACTTTGTAGTGACTTAAAAAAAATAAAAGAAAGAGGTCTTAAACATACAGTATACATGATTCTTTAGGTATAAAGCGGTTTACATTTTCACTTAAATACCCTTGGCATCTTTTGTAACCAACAGTTTTCAAGTAACTCAGTTGATTCAATAAAGTTGTTATCTCTGTGTCAACACGCATTAACCAGGAAGTCAAATAAGGGTCATGGTACAAAACCCAGGCAACATTGGCTACTTATAAACAGACAGACTGGGAGTGGAGTGTGACTCATGCGGCTTTCACACCGGCGCTTTTCACTTTCTAGCTCCTAGCGAGAGCTTTTCTGGTTCAGCTCCCGTTTCCCTTTTCAGCTCCCGCTCTGTTCACACTGCCCAGAGCTGCCGCTGCTGCGTCATGACGTCACAGTTTACGTCGCTGATTTTCTTCCACAACAACAACGGGCCGGGGACTGCATCGGGTCGATGATCGTGTTGCTTTTAATCATACGAAGCCAGATTAAATTAAATAACGACTTCTCCAACCTTATACTTTTCTCCAGAGTGCCGTGGTTCATTGTTTATTAATGTGTTTCAGCGGCATTTACCAACCGCTGCAGTGGCTGCACTTCCACGGGAGTTTATTCTCCCGTTAGCTCCGGGTTAGCTCACACGGCTCTAAAGTATTCACTGTCTGACTGTCACACAAGCAGCTGATACATATCCCCAGTTCCCCTTAAGTGAATGTGTGTCAGCCTGAATTGACGCTGTTTGGCATCACAACGCTGTTATGAAAGTTTCTCTGGTATAACATGGGTGATGTTAGCATAGCAACCGAAGCTAAACTGACTACTTGCTAAGCCGTTTTCTCCAGGCACATTTTACCGGCGTATTTTTCATTATGATTCTACTTCTGATAGTCGGACATGACAACCTGTATAGCCCATGTATCTCCACAATGATCAATAACAGCGAACGGATGGTAAAAGTAAGGTTTCCTGCACGCCTCGACGTAAGAGACGTAAGAGACGTAAGCGACGCCGCGTCATAGCTCCGAAGCTCTTGCCTCTGGACCGACAATTTTTTGGAGCTGGAAGTGAACCGCATTCCGGAGCTATGACGCGCCGCCGCTGCGGTGTGAACAGGAAAAACCGGCGCTTTTCAGGCTCTAGCTCCCAGCAGGAGCTGGAAAAGCGCCGGTGTGAAAGGGGTATAATTGATGACAGAACTGGATTTATGCAAATTAACTATACCAAAACCACATACGTGGCCTCAAATTGCTATCTGTGTATCACCTCTCATAAAACCAACAAGAATGTCAACAGACTGTAAACATGAACTCACCATGGCCATGAGCTGAGAGTTGTTGGCCTGAGCAATGCCCAAGATATTGGTGGTGTGCATTACTTCCACAGAGAAGCTGGGCAGCCAGCTGGCAATGCGAGATCCTGTAAGAGAATGAATGGATTTTAGAATGTATTGTCATTCACAGCCTGATAAGGTAAGGCCACTTCCACAACACCTTCCTTGTGTGTGACAGACTCACCATCAAAGTGGAAGAAGTGATTGTGGTGGTTGATGTGTGGTCTGGCCTCTGGAGCGGCTCCCACGGGGCCGATGTTGTCTTCCAAGCCCCCGCCCGGCTGCTGGCCTCTCGCCGGGGCCCCGTCCCCATTGATGTTCAGGGATGTCCGGCATGTTGGACAGGAGGTGTCCTGTTCGAGCCATGAGCGCAAACAAGAGCTGGAAACACAACCACAATTCGCTAAAGTTATAATGGCATTTCTCTGTATAGAACCTGACATTATTTTAGGTATCAGAACAAGTCTTCTATAGCTTAACATCAGGATGTGTGCAGGGAATCTTAATGAAGCTTAAACTGGTATAATGAGAGGGCAGGAGATACATATCCAAACAAAAAATATCTTATAAAAGCTAATAAAAGTTCCACAGTCTAATTAACCAAATTAAGGATACTTTATTCAGGGATGGTATATCCAGTTGTCTACAATTCCTTTAGCCTCTCCTTCAGCCATCTTTATTCTGTAAGTTACTTTTTCTATGTAGGGAGCCAGTTTAAGTCCAAGCAGGGATGTTGCTTAAAAAAAAAACACGTTACTTGTGGAAGAGATGGCCACAGGGTAGTCTGCGTGCAGTCACCATGGTATCCCAGCAGATGGCACAGTCATCGTCATTAGCTGTCAGCTCCTCTGCAGTTGCCACGGCAAATCTGCAAAGATAAAAATAAGAGTACATAATGATGAAACAGTTGGTGGTCGATGGATTTATGAGAAACAATTGAACTATACCAACAAAAAACTACAACACAATGACATAAAAATTAAATCAAATATATATATTATTACCTGGCCTCCATGTTGTTGATGACACGAAGGTAGTTCTTGTGTCTGCGGACACGGCGCTGGACCTCGTGGAAGAGATACCGCAGCTGCATGAAGATCACCAAGCTAGCCATGGACAGCCAGATGTTTCCAAAGAGCTAATGATACAGAATTATTAAAGATTAAGAGAGTAATACATGAGAGAGGGACAGATTAAATGATGATGACGCTACAAATCAAATCAAGTTTTATTTATATAGCACATTTAAAAGCGATTTTTGGTCGAGCCAAAGTGCTGTACATGTAATAAAAACACTTTACTACAATCAAAACAAAAGACAATAATTTACAACAGAAATATAAAAAACAAAAACACAGGGAATAGTCAGGTGTCATACTCCGCTCTGACGAGAGACACATGCTTCACTTTTGTCTTACCAGCATATGGATATGATGCATCAGGTCCAGGAAGAGCATAGCCAGCTCCATAACGAAGTCAGTGTAATAGACATATGTGCCCTTATTCTCCCAGGTCCCTGGATGGTTCAGATCCCACAGATGAATAGAATATCTGCGGTGACATGGATAACTCTGTCAGGCCATTACACTGGTGATATTTAAACTGAATGGTGGCGATGCAGCCTTTAACGTGAATGGAAATTGTAAATTCATAAAATGAAGATGGTGTTTTGGGCAGATTAAACAGGCAACATTGTCATCAGAAGCTGCTAACTAACATCTCAGGATAACAAACAAGAAGAAAGACTAACATCTGTTTAACAGCGTTATGCCAGTATGCTTGGTTTGAAATATTCGAACAACAACGTATGGTGTGTTGAGACACACGTTAACGTAAAATCAATACATTTTTCGTTGATAAAGTAATGCAGTCTGTACGTTTTAACGTTAGATAAATCTGTGAGCACCGCGGCCGATTAGATTTGTATCCGCTGCTCTTATAATCCCAGCCACTCTCTTTGGGACAAAGAAGCCTTTTATAATAGTGTAATAGAACCAGAGAAAAACAAGGGCACGACTAACATTAGCCCCGAATTCAAAATCTGCACAGTCTATCTCATCTGCAGTGCTGCAGCGTGCTCACGTGCATGCATGTAATATAAGGAGCCTTTGAAGGGACTTACCGCATGATGACATGCCCAGTGCGTACAGTCACAAGCAGACACTGAGGAGAAAAAGGACATAATGGTAGTCAATGTTCCATAGAGATATTGATAAAGATCCCAAATATTACATTTCAGCTGTGGATTAAAAAACTCAACAATTAAAGAAAATTAAAGGAATACATTAGGTAAAGGTGCAGAGTTAATGTGTGTATTTATAAAACTAAACCTCTCTTTTTAAACGTGTTCCTTTATGGAGACCTCTGCAGCTTCTGGATCAAATAAATACAACTTTTCCACCAGAGATTATGCCTCGTCATAGCAGACAAAGCAGTTGTTACTGAGAGCATTAGGGATTGTCCCAGAGCCCCAGTAAGCCATGCTCCTGAGCCGGCATGCTCAAAACTGGGTCACTGGCACACATCAAATGAAATGCAACCACTATACATATTTTAAATGACAACTAAGCTTTTCCTGCTTTATTGTCCTATTGTTTTCCAAAAAACATGTTTGCAGTGTTTACAGTATTGCACATGAAACACACATACAGATTGTCCAAGGCTCATTTGAGACATAAGTTAAAATACAAATTGTTGACATAAACTGATACATCTTTAAGAAATATATAGTCCTAACCTGAAGCTTAATTTATAATAAAGAGCCCACAATCATCCTGCCTTTGTCCATACCTAGGACACCCACTTTTCTACAGTTGTGTCTCCTTGTTTCTCACCTCTGCTGCCATAAAGCTGAAGGTGTGCATGCCATGAGAAGCTCCAAGCAGTCCCCCACAGCCAATGGCCAGACCACAACAGTCCAACAGCAGGGAGACCAGCAGACAAAGCACTCGCACATGGCTGTTCATGGGAGTGGAGGGGGAGAACGACAGCTGCAGGGAAGAAAATTAGAATTATGAGTCAAAGTTTGTTCATTACATCCACATATTTGTATTGTCTTTTCAGAGAGCTTGTGATGGTTTATGAGGGTCTGTTAGAACACAACAATATGTTCATAAAACATGTTGATTTTGATGGCAAACTGTTTAATGAAATGGTAAAACAACACATTTAAAAAGGAGAATATTCCTATTAAATCATTATCACCTATTAAGCCAGCATAGAATATAATGTTGTTGGGTTAAACCTGCTCTTATGCACACACAAGCCTTAGCATTGGGCCCATTAACTAAGAAAGGCTGTAAAGCGAAATAGAACATTGTTTATAAGCAATATAATACAATCTAGGACCTTGTTACAAAAATGTAAAGTAAGTTAAAGGAAAAAAAACAGGTACCATCAATCCAAGCACATTGACAACCGCATATCTCTATGATCTTTAGAGGTTTTACCTACAAGCGTCATCCTGACCCAAAAAGCTAGAACCACATAAACAGTAAGGAAGACAGCTGTGCTAACACAACTGACAGACCTCGACGGAAATACAACATGCAAAATGCATAGTCAAACCTAAGATGCAAAACCAAAAACTTTCAGACAGTTACGCTCTTAAACAAACAACCATGTGTAGTAAAGGACACACAGTCACAAAACGGTACATTTTTACAGCATTGAGTCAGCATTACATCACAGGCAGCATACCAACTTAATGCCCATTTTAAATGTCACTGCTTGTAAGGAGGACGATTACATTTGATATTTTGTTTACCCCAACATGCAGACCACAATCTGATACAGGGACGTGCCAATCAGCGGCCTCACATGCCAGTGAAAGGAACTATTTTTAGATTCAAAGCTGAGGAGAGTCTAGTTACTGTCAGACTATCCGAGGACACTCCCCACACCTTTCAAAAAGACCACTTTATAAAAGTACCTGCAGGTGTTTTCAATGCCAGGTTTATAGCTACCTTCCAATGAGGTTTACAGAGTAGAATAAATAGGAACAGGTTTCAAACAGGGACATGTAGACCTGTCTATTAAACCCTATAATTCTCATTTTACTGCATATCTTCACTTTTTAAACAAGATTTGGAGTTATTTGTTTAATGTATGGATCTCTATGTTTGCTTGATGACATAGCTATTTCCAATGCCTCCAAGTCATTGCTAAACTGTGTATAACTGAAATTTCTAAAAGTAACCTTTGTGTCCCGTCTGAACAAATAAGAGCTCTGTAGCAGAAAAAACGGCCCCCATGACAACAGTGAGATGTTTGCTTGAAATGCAGAAAGGAACCACTTTTATAACAGCTTTAAGATTTCAAAAAAGGCATCCATGTATGATAAATGTTTTTTACTTTTAGTGGGCCATCCAGAAATATCGTGCATTGGCTAATGTCTAATATGTTATTGATAATACTGCTGTTTTGTATTGTAGAGTGATTAGTTGGTTGGTACAATATCATTACTTGTTGTAACTCTTCTAAGTTGGATTGGATCAGAAAATGATGATGGAAGTATTTCTGAAACATAACAGTTGAATAAACGTGGTGTTTTGTCCTGGTTCAGATTACCATACCCTCTAGCCATAAACCATGGTTAGGGGAACTGAAATAATTCAGAAGAAGAAAACAATGTTATATTTAAATGACTTACATATTCAAATCTGTCTTTGCAGAGCTGCACCATGAGGTGGAGAAAGACCAGGGCGGAGAACCATAAACACCACATCACCACCTCCTCCACTGTCTGCACGTTCAATACGCCAAAGATGAAAATGAACTTGTAGAAGATGAAGTTCCAGAACTTATCTTTCAGGTGCTGAGGAATAAACAAAAACATCAAATTAGATGCATTTCTCTGGCAGGTCTACACAGCGGCATGAAAGTAGTTTCAATCATCATCTTAAGGCAAAATATGTGAAACTTCTGCATCTAGAGGTCTGTCTTTCAAATAGTAATAAAAGACAGAGTTTGGAAGTGCCTTGAAGCAGAAGGTATGTGGAATCATGATTGTCTTCACCACCATTTCCATAGTTGCTTGGCTCTGCAAGGTAAACAATCTTTATTTCCCCAGCAGACGAAGAGGCTGCGAGCTTATCAGAAATGTTTGCCAAGTTTGTTTTTTAAATAAGGTAAAATCCAGACATTGGATGACCAAGATCCTTTATCCATTTAACATCTATAGTTAAATGACCAAGATCTATAAAGTGTATCATAAAAATGTGGCTTAAAAGTGGACAAAAACTCCATTAACTACAACTACTGGAAAAACTACAACGCTGACACATCTGCAAGGATGAGGATACGTTTTCACTACAAGCTATCAAATAAAACGTACTGTTACCGTGACTAACAGTAGAGATATTCTTTAACATGTTTGTAAGCATTGGGAATAACTTAACTAACGAAATAAATAACTAGTTTGTCATTTGTATACATTAAAATGCAATATTTTAACGTAGTATATTTTTCACACATTAACTCACCTGCTTCTCACTGACTCTGAGCGGGCCGAACACCATATACTGAATCATTTTAGCTATTAACATCAAAGAACAGCAGAATGTGTTAACCAAGACCTGGAGGAGGACAGAGAATATAGTCACAATTAGTTTTCATAAGAAACACATAATCTAATCTAGCCATTAATAGTTAAAGACTAGGTGACAGTACTCACCCATACAAAGAGACTGTCAGTGACAAGATACCACAGGACAGTGGTTGCCAGTTCTGTGTTAGTAATATCATTGTTTAGATGTTCAAGATCCACATCAGGGGCAGCTGGTGTTTCGTCTGGTTCCAAGACCCCAAAGCCCGGGTCTGTCACAGTGGTGTAGGCACTAAAGATGCTGCCAGCAAGCAAAGCCAAACTCAGGGCAGTGTAGGTCTGCAGGCTGGGCCAAGGAAACCTCTCCAAAAACAGCAGAGGCATTGCAGTGTTTGCGGCCCACTTCTCAACTTGTAAAAATGGTGTGTGTCCAGAGCCAAGAACTCGAAGAACCTGCGGAAGTGAGTTAGTTAGCTAAAATTGGCAAAAGTTGCGTACCTTTGATAAATGCTAATGAGTTAGAATACGATCCTGGCTAACTCATGTTAAAAAGTGATTTAGTTATGATTTGAAATGAATTACACTATTTTGTTACTCGTTTCCAAGAAGCTATAAGACTCACGTTAGCTAGCCGCATACGTTAACATACGTTGCTGTCAGTTGTCAAGCAATGCTAACTTCTCGTTAGCTCAGTACAGTTGGTAAAGGTGGACCTTTTTAATTGTCTTTAGTGAAACGTCAAAGGTGAAATCAGTCAAACAACATAAAAAGCAGTAACTTAAACTAACTGACATTAATACCCCCAGTGTCTATAGTGTAAAATACATTTAACGCAAACAAATAGGAGTTCACGCCCCGTAACATTAGCTATTTACATGGCTACGTTACCTAATTCTAGCTAACATTAGCAACGTAGCTAGCCTCTGTTAAACACCAGACAACACACTAATACTACATCGTCACTCACAGTTTGTAACTTATTTAGTTAAACAGAATATCCAGTGTCCCTCGCTGTATCCATCCAGTGCTGTGCTTTTAGTACAGCTGCACTGAAAGCGTCGTAGTTGTCACCATCGTCATGTTTTTATTTAATGGAGAAGGCAGCTGACTGAGAGAAAGCCTTCTTCTTCTTCTTCTTCTTCTTCTACGAGGTTTAACGCTTTTACTGCCCTCTTCTGGACTGTGTCAACATTTGCCTGATTTTCCCCATAAACTGTTCTACTGGGAAGTTGATAAAACCAGAGGTGGCAAAAGTACTTAGATTTGTAGTAAAGTAAAAGTAGAAATACCCAGGGTTGGGAGGGTTACTTTGCAAATGTAATTAATGCCTGAATAGTATAGGCCTACCATGTAGGCAAGTTCACGATTTACTTTTGAATTGTAGTGGGGCAGAAGTACAAAGTAGCAAACATTGAAATACTCAAGTAAAGTTCCTCAAAATGGTACTAAAGTGCAGTAGGCCTACTTGAGTAATGACTTAGTTACTGAATGAAACCCATCATAAATAGTCAACCGTGTCCATTTTCACCACAGAATTTATTGTATTAATTACAAAAAAATGTAAATGATCAATTTAAGCCAGTGTGAGATATGACAAAAAGTATGTGGGGTTTTAGGTTTAAGGTTAGCCTGATTCTGATCCTGGTAGCAATAAATAACTTTGTTATATCTTCCATTACATTACTACATCTACAGTTCCACTTTAAAATTATGCTCTTACCATGTAATACAACCTTGTAGCCCTGCAAAAAATAAGTTTTTTTGTGAAACTTCTATAGTTTTGTACACGAAATTGTGAAAGTTAAGAAAAATTGACAGGGGGTTGTATAATGAACTATTACATAAATAGTGTGCTTGGCTCAGAAATAATTCTGACTTTAGCTATGAAAAAGCAAGTAATGATAATAATAAACCATTCTAACGATTGCCATTTATGCAATAGATAGAGTTGACAGAGAGTCCAAAGTCAAAGTGCGTGAATGGGACTTTCCAAATGCAATTGCAAAGGTTGTTGGGGATGAATAGGGTGAGACGGCACAGACACAAGTCTAGCTTTGTGTCTAATCTCAGAAATATATTATGAGCTATGTTGAAACTGGTGATCTCAAAGGTTTTGGAAGAAGGAGAAAAAAAAGTCCTGACTTACTTTCAGTTCAGCTGCACCATTGCAGTAACGGTCAGTTCATTATGTTTTGCTCCATAATGTTTATTTCTCAAACACAAGTGGAAAAGAGAAAGACATATGTTTCTTTTTGGAAATAATTAATATTTATTAAATGTATTTATTGTAGTATATTTAGGTTGCCAATGTAGAAACAAACAAACAGAAAAACATATTTTATTAACAAGCATTGTTTTCTACAGATGAAATCAAGCAGGGAGTTTCATACAAATACTTGGGTGTAATGATTGACCATCTGCTGTCATGGAAGGATCACATTGAATATCTGTGCAAAAGGACAAAACAAAGAATTTATTTTCTCCGCCGTCTTAGGTCTTTTGGGGCGAGCAGAGAAATTCTTCTGTTGTTCTTTACATCTGTGATCATGTCCATTCTACAGTACTGCAATACTACCTGGTACAAATGTTTGTCAGCAGCTTTAAAATCAAAACTGCTCCACCTGTTAAAAATCTGCTCAAAGATTGTTGGTCAACCCTGTCAGAGACTCTATGACTCATAACAACCTAGTGAGGCTGTCCAACAACATCATCTCTGACCCAAACCATGTTCTGAACAGTGAATATGAACTGCTACCATCTAATCGGAGATACAGGGTCCCACGATTCAATAAGGTCAGACTGAAGCACTCCTTTGTGCATCAGTCAATCCTCACAGTAAATACAGAGCTGAATCCCAGATCAAATGCACGCTGAAGGCTCTTTGAGCATGTTTTCTCTCACTGATTGTGCTGTTATGTTAAATGTTTGTTGTTTGTGTTTCATGTATTTGTGTCTGGATATTTGTCTGTTGATGTTGGACATGGAGCTGCTGTGACGCAAGTCAAATTTCAGACTTGATCTGACAAATAAAGTAATATCGTATCGTATCGTATCGTATCGTATTTCTGATGTACACTTTGGAACATATTACAGTAGGTGTCATTAATGTGTGTTGTGTAACAATCCGGATTTCATCTATAATTGTATTATCCTGGACCTTGTGTGAATCTTTAGTGTCCTGTTTTCCATTCTCTATCTGTTGGTGCTTTAAACTCCTGAATTTCCCCACAGGAATTAATAAAGATCCATCTTTTCTTATCTTATGCATCTTCTCAACCATCACAAATACACAAAATAAAAGCATTCAGTGATTGAACTATAAAAGACCTTTGACTTGTTTTGCCATGCAGTGAGTCAAGTACAGTAAATCATTACATGGCAATCAAATCAATATAACCCTGACTTGATCCATAACATACAGATAATAAAGTTCATTAACAGAATAGAAACAGAAAGGTCTTTGGAATAACGGTAGATCATCGGTCTTACTGAAAAACCTGTTTCCTGTTCCAACTCAGAGGGAAGTTAAGACTTGCTTGTACAGCACTTTGTTTTTCTTTTCATGCAGACGCCACTGTAAAGGCATACACTTGCAGCATGAATGACTCGACCGAGCTGTCTTCTTCAGTGGAAATGACCCCTGAGGAGTTTGACGGTTGGACAGTAGTTGTGTGTGTGATCCTGGGTCTGTCATTCCTGATAGGAGTTCCGGGAAACCTGCTGGTGATCTGGACTATCCTGAGACATGTCAAGCAGCGCTCCCACACTGTGCTGCTCATCCTGCACCTGGCTGTTGCTGACCTGCTGGTCCTCATCACCCTGCCTCTTTGGATCTACTCCCTGGCTGACACCTTGGTGTTTGGAGGAGCCTTCTGCATGGCCTTGGTGTACATTGTCTATGTCTGCATGTTCAGCAGCATATTCCTTATCACCCTTATGAGTGTGGAACGCTATTTAGCCATCTGTCATCCATTTGTAATGATGCGCTGGAAGAACAAGAGCATTATGAGCACATGTCTCGCACTTCTGTGGTTCCTCGCATTACTTCTAGGAGTGCCTGCATTACTGACCGCACCAATGGATGAAAGCGATGTAACTGAGTCGTGTTTCATCAAGGAATTCAGCTCTGTGACTCAAGCGATCATCTTGTTATGTTTGGAGTCCTTGGCAGGTTTTGTAGTCCCTTTGTCATTCTAAGTATCTGTTACTGTCTAGTAGCTGCCCAGCTAAGGAAAATGAATTACAACTCCAAAGTAAAATCTATGGTGCTTGTGCACGCTGTGGTGATAGCCTTCACATTGTGCTGGTTGCCTTGGCATATCATCAACATTATTGATGTGGTTTGCATCCTAAATTCAGGCACAGATCATGAATGTGTGCAAGAGAGTGTTGTCTTCACCTCTGGAGCTCTTGTTTTTATCAGCAGTTCAGTGAATCCTATATTATACGTCCTCTTCGCAAGGAACTTACGAGGGAGTTTGGGAGCAGTCCCCTCTGGTCAGGCTTTTCCAGGAAATGGTCACTCACACCAGCAAACTCAGAGAGCTGGTAATACAACATCAGACAGGCCAGAGGGCAGCAAACACACAGTTGGAGCTGATGAGCGACTCTGAAACAAATTGAATCCCTGGAACTGTGATGCTGGGGAAATGTGACATTTATATATTGCAGTTTATTATGGGACTATTCTTTATTATGAAGGCTTTGAAAGACTGTACAGTATGTCACATGCACTTAATGCAGTCATTGAAACAAGCCTTCTCTCATCGCCTTCCCATTTACCCTAAGATGTCAAGGCAAGAAAACAAATGACAATGTGTTTTTCATTTTGATGATCATATATTGATGTTTTGTTGAAAATCTTGAAAACTTTCTATTTGATATGCTCTATGATTGTGATAAAGTGTCTTTTGTTTTAGAGTAAAAGTCTTGTGTTTCTTTACTTCAGATTTTTCTTTCTCCAATGTTTTCAATTTCATTGGAGAACTGTCATCATACATATTCTCCCAAGCCTTAATGTTGTTGTGTACCATGGAGTTGCTCCCACATTACTTTTTAGTATGTGAGATTATGTATTATCTGAGATCATTTAAAAAAGAAATTGTGGGTTTCTCTTTTACTTATTTGACTAATTTACTTACTTTTAATTGATGACTATAGGTAAAAAGAAATTGATGTATGACGCATGCATGAATCACCTCTCTGTGTCTCAAATAGCCATGTGAGGAAACCCCTTTCCTGAGCTGTCTATTCTTAAAGGGAAGTGAATACTTGCTTGTACAGCACTTTGTTTTTCTTTTCATGCAGACTCCACAGTCAGCACATACACTTACAGCATGAACCACTCGACCGATCTGCCCTCTTCAGTGGAAATGGCCCCTGAGGCGTTTGATGGCGGGACAGTATATGTGTGTGTGATCCTGGGTCTGTCATTCCTGATAGGAGCTCCGGGGAATCTGCTGGTGATCTGGACTATCCTGAGACATGTGAAGCAGCGCTCCCACACTGTGCTGCTCATCCTGCATCTGGCTGTAGCTGACCTGCTGGTCCTCATCACCCTGCCTCTTTGGATCTACTCCCTGGCCCACTACTGGGTGTTTGGAGAAGCATTCTGCAAAGCCATGGTGTTCATGATCAACGCCTGTATGTATAGCAGCGTTTTCTTCATTACCCTCATGAGTGTGGAGCGCTTTGTGGCTGTGCGCTATCCGTTTGCCTCAGCTGGCTGGAAGAGAAAGAAAGCTTTGGATAAAGTTCTGCTGGTTCTGTGGACTGCAGCATTCTTGTTCAGCATACCTGTCATCCCAACTCAGGTGGTAGGGACAGATTCTGGTGAGGAGCACTGTCTATACCGGCTGTACACTTCTGTGGCCCAGGAGCTGTGGTGTGTGCTGCTGGAAACCCTGGTGGGCTACATAATACCCTTCTTCATCCTCATCGTCTGCTATGGCTGTCTGTGCAGCCGGATTACTCAGATGACCTTCAAGTCCAAGCGCAAATCCACTGTCCTGATTGCCAGTGTCGTGGTAGTGTTTGCCATTTGTTGGACGCCTCATCATATAGGAAATGTCCTTTCAGTCATCATCCTGGCCATTGAAGACTCCCTACCTCAGGCAGCAGAGAATCTGGAAAGTGTCAGGTACACCATGACCTTCATCGCTGGAGCCATGGTCTTCATCAGCAGCACTGTTAACCCCATCCTCTACATGTTCGCAGCTCGCTCCTTCAGGAGCTCTCTGAGGGACACCGGCATCCAGAAGCTCTTCCGCCATATCTCCAGCACCTCCCCAGGTGAGGGCACTAAAGAATTGTCCTTTGTGACCAAAAGACAGAGCAATCAAACAACCAACAGTTCTCACTGTGAGTCTGAGCCAAAAGACCAAATGGACATATTAATAAATATGTGCGAAAATAATCCATCCTGATATTTAAATTGTATGTAGTGTCTGTGCCGTGTGTATATTCATGTGTGTATTTTAAATGTATTTTTTTAAAGAAATAAAGGGGCTTTTTTCTGTGATTAAACTAATTTTGTATGATATTACAACACAGAAAAACAGGAAGTGGAAGTGTATCTGTGCAATGCTTGTTGAAATCTGTAAATTACCTTTTTTAAATGTTGAAATTGTGAACATATATTTATAAAAATGTCCCATATTGTGTAGTTAAATGTTTGCGGTATAGTTTTCAAAAATTGCACAATAAATGATGCTATAAGCAATGGACACAATGGTCTCAATGTAAGCATTTTTTTATTTATAGTTTTGTTAATGCTAACAAAGGGAAATAATGATTATGTTATTGATTCTGTGTACATTTTTTCTAATTGCCTGTAATGTGGGAACATAACACAGAAGGTTTTTATCTGATAAGGCTGTGGTTGTGTCAGACACTTCTTGTTTTTCTGAATTGCAGCAGAGGAATATTTCACTCACAACCACAGTGTTATTGTGAACTCATGTAACAAAACAATTTATGTTGTAGTGTTAAATTCTCCTCAATTGACCATTTTATTAATCAAATAATCCAAAAGGTACAACTTCTTAAAAATGGTTTCCACTCGTGACAAATTAGCAAACAATTGTCCTTCTTTCCCACTAGAATCAAAAGTCAAACCTTCAACTTCCTCTCCATGAAAAGATTGCAAAATGAACAACTGCATGTTCCCTTTGCTGAGCAGCAAAAAGCGGAATCATGTCTTAATGTTTGTCACAGTCTTATAAAACTAAAACCCTTTAAGAAATAAAGCTCAGTGTCAGCTTATTCCCTTATTTTTAAATGCGTATGTCTGTCATATATTCATAACATTTAGCATTCAGTTTGTGTTGCCATCACTACAGAAAAATGCTCTTACCGACTGGCACAACCAGTAGATGGCAGTGGCACTTTTTTCTTTACAATTTTAGTGTGGTGTCTCATTAATTATACTTTTCTTTTACTGTCCCAGTATATGTATTTTCTTATCCAAGGACTGGTAAAGGTGAGACTCTCTTTTTCAGCGTAGTCTTGCTTCATACATCACAGATCTGTCTGTTGACATAGCTGCGCAAAAGGAGTAAAGTCGTAGAAACAAAGCATCTACAGTATATGATAAAAAAAGATTGACCAAATTCATTATACTAAATATAAGGTGACATTTCACTGTGAAATTATTTCCCTTTAGTGGGACCCCAAACCATTTCAGGCTGACACAAATCTTAGCATTTATTAATAATTGTTCATGTCGACGAGGATCTAAAAGTAACATGTATTTGACATTGGGAATGACAATTGAAAGTTGGGATTTGGGGAAAAAACATTTAGAAGAATTGACATGGTTGTGGTTGTTGTGGGGTGTCTTTGTATGTGTCAGATACTGCGAGATGGCTCATTGTGATACTGATTTGAACTGAAGATTTAATAACCCATTCTGAGAGTGCTTGTCACCTCTTTGGCCCTAAGTACTAGTGAGTCAGAAATATTTTAACTGTGATAGTTGAAAATTAAAGAGGGCAAAGGGTATGACCAAAAAATGAATTTGTCAGACATGAAAATCATAGCTGACATATTAGACCTTTTGCTCACAGAATGAGGAAGCAGCATGTGAACGAAACAACATTAGCAGTGTGGTATTGCCTTTCATTATGAGTACAATCCTACACTATGCATGGTTATGAAAGCCAGGGTGCCCCCTTAAGTGATGGGAGGAAGAACAATTATGACTAAACAATCATGTGTGATATAGAACATTCCCCATGCAGGACACTGTGACAGCCATTGGCAACTTTTTCAGCCACAGGCAGCTTCACCTGCACTGCATGAAGGAGGTATGGCAAGTTCTTCCTTCCTGCTGCTGTCAGTTGCAATTCTCCCAGTAGGCTGCACATACCAAGACTCAAAATTCATTTACTCGTTCATGTGCAATCAATATTATGTGCAATTTCAAATCCTGTGATATATTTTGTATCATAATTATGTGCCATCATCTATATCCTTTTTATGTGTATACACATTTTTTACTGATTATTTATTTACTATACTTGGTGTTTCCTCCTGTTGTTTCAGTGTTGGTGCTGTAACACTGTAGAAAGCCCTTTTGTGAGACTAATAAAGGATTATCCCATCTTATCATACTGTAAATTGATAACTTTTTGCCTTCAAAATGTGCCTCTCAGCCATTAAAGTTTCAAATAGTAACCAGATTAAAGTTATCCATTTGAATTTAACCAATACTTCCACCAGCTAAAAGTACACAACAGGATGGAGCTGCCAAAAGGGATGACTGAGACATGAATCTTATCTACCCCAAAAGTTTATTTCAAAGTGTGTCAAAAGTGTGTCGCCTAGTTTAACAGCTTTTACCTCTGGCTTGATAGTAGACATGCAAACACCTCACACAACATGATACTACCTCTGAGTCCAAAGCATAGTTATGAACTGGGTATTGTGGGGGCTCGTACAGATTGCCGTCTCGATTGTACAACTTTTTTCAAACCAGTTAAACCTGCTTGAACAAAGACTTAACATGTCACTGTGGTGCCATATCAAGACAACTTGTATAGCATGCTGAGCATGTGATGTCATGAAGCTAAATGTTCTTTGCTGTTGAGGGGGAACATCATTATGTGTCAAGGATTTCAGCTGAAGTGTTTCCAATGTGTCCCTCAACCAATCAGACTGGTTCAGATACTGATAATTACTCTCAAATAAGTTTAAGGAGGGGAAGAGAAAGAAAACCATGCTTTCACTACCGTCTACTGGCTCATAGCGAGCAGAGATGGGAGTGTCAGGAGCAACAAAACAGGGCATTCTGGGAACCAGGCCAAAGACTGGTAAAAACTCCAGCAGGCCAGTAAGGACCCGTTAAGTTTTTGAAACCTTTTGATTGTACATTGTTGCCCATTTTTTATGTTTCAAATTGTATTTCACTAAAAGAGCTGCTCATAGAAAAAAGTACTGCCATGCAAAAGAGGATGAGACTTCATATAGAAAAACAGATACATGTTAAGTGACAGTAAGTTATAGCCTATTCCATTTCACAGTGGCACTCCCACTGAAGCAGTAGCAGAGGTTCTCAGAGGATGAAGGATCCCAGGTTTGAAACATGAAGGAGACAATACATGTATTTGTTCCCTCTGTCTCTAATTCTGCATGTGTCTGTCTGTGTTTCTTTGTTTTGTTTCTCCCTCTTCCTTTAATTCTATCCTTCCTTCATTCCATTCTACCTTTAGCCTAAATCCAAAGGTTTAGAGGGCAACTGTCATACTTCATTTTTTTTTATACTGACAAAAACCTGGAGCAAGGGCTATAGTACAGGCAAAATGTATATGTCTCAAAACTCAGTACAGTTTAATATTGTCTTTATTAATAAGATTTATCTCCCACACATTTTTGTAACATGTTATTTGTTTGAAACATTATCAGCACTCAGCACTATGAGAAGTAGGCCTGCATAACTCTTTTATCATTTAATACCCAAACACACTCAAACGTTTCTCTATTTTGGCAGCTGTATAGGTGTATAGGTGTTGCATGTAGAAAATGCATGAATTCCAATGTTCATTAACTTTCCCCTATGAAAGTGAAACATAAGCTACATGCCTCATGGAGGTATTACAGCCCTGTTTTGCCAGACTACTTCCTCATTAGCACTTCTGACCAATGAGATTACAGCACTCACCTCAACCTCCCGCCCTCACCTTTCCAAACCGGCCAATAGGCGAGGCCTTTGGAGCTCTCCTCGCTTGGAGGCCGGGCCACACAGGTAACTCAGAAAAAAATAGAAAGGAGAGGAGGAAAAAAAACCTCCAAGGCTTGTTATGGAGTTCGTGTGAAAGAAACACGGATTTCCACCCTTCTTTACCAGTTAAACCAGTATCTCTGGATAGAGCACACTCAAGTACTTCAACAGGTAGAGTCTCCTACCGCAAAACTCTTTCGTGGCTCCTCTGAAAATAATCTCCCCTTTTTTCTCTCTCCGTTTACCTCAATTGAGTTTCTAGCCCTTTTGTTCGCTCTTCTTATCACTTGGAAAAAGGTGAACCCTCGTGTTATTTTTATTTTAATCTTTGCTTTAATTGTAGTTTTTTACCCTTGTGGTCCCTGATGGCTTCGCACAGTGATACTCTGGTGGTGTTCTTTGGGGCAACAGCTGGTGCAAATGGGGGTAAACTGGGTTCGGATGAGAGGGAAATAATTCTCTTGGTGTGGCAAATTGTGGATCTACATGAGAAAAAGGTACGGACCTTTCTGACCCGTTCGTTCGTTGTACGGTTTCTTATGTACCCAGTGTTTGTGGCATAGTGTCTACCTGTAGTGAAACAGTATGTTTGACATTTAAACCAACATGGTGTGCTCTCTGAAACCGTCTGTAACCTGCTTTATGCTAGCTAACGCTACATCAATTCTCCGTCCAGCCGTCTTATTAGCTCACCTTTAACAGGTGTGCAACCAACATTTATCAAGCAGGTGAGGACTGTAGTTTCGCCTCCCAGGGAAAACACACCGTTTTGGTTTAGCATGTCAGCTTGTCAATACAAACAACGCTTTTAATGACAATTGAGTGCTTTTTGCAACTACATTGTCAGTTGTTTTACTTTTGTAAGAGTGCATTTCCTAAATGTGGGGGGTTTTATTATACAATTTGCCATAAATTAGCAAATCTTCCACGCTTTATTCTGCGCCATGAACCGCTAAATCCATTCACAGGTCGGGAAGCTTCATAGGTGTCTAGTGAAGCCTGACTCTTTGGAGCGGACAGACGAGTGTAAAGAGGAGACTGGGCTGACTGTGGAAGATATCCTCAAAGCTGAGCCCCTCGACACAGTTTTGCAACAGGTGAGTCTCCCTGCTCTCTTAAATGAGAGGTGCATTTCTATATAACTAACATTTAAGAATCAGGTGTCTTTTTTTACCCTCTTGATAAAATAAAGTTTTCACTCTGTTCTTACACACATGCACACATTAGCTTGAATGCACACACAGGAACTACACCCATGCATTATCATTAAGATGAAATGTCAGAGTAGAGTCCACACTGTATTCCTAGACCTTGAATGCCACCTTGACATCCTCAAAAATCGTTTCCCTTGCAAAAAAAGGCCTTAGAAGTCCTGGTGCCATTTCCCCACCGTGATAAAAAATCTCTCACTGCTATCATTAATGTCTACGGTATGAAAACCACAGCAACGGCTTGTAACATCTCGCTGCTGTCGGTAACAATGAGTATTTCAAAAGCTAATTAAACTGAGCCAACTTTCTTCTGACAGTTAATGCCCAAAGCGGGATGAGATGAGACAAGCCTGAGATGCTATTGACCTGCAAGTTAATGTGAGGAGTGTCACATTTACCTGATGACCTTTTAAAAAAATAATAGTCTTCCACCTGGTTGAGATATGACATTGGTGTTACCCTGACAGTTAAACTCTGCTGACAGTTTGTAGGAGCTCAGGGGCTAGGATAGGCACAGCCTGAGGCCTCCTAAGATTAGGAGGAGTCGCAGGTCTAGTCTTGCCTCGGCCTGATGCATGCTGTAGACATCTGGAAGGTGGAATGTTTACCTGGGACCACACCTCTGATTTACGCTGCAGGACAGACAGGAGGGAAAGCTTTTCAAAACTTAAGCTTCATCCCCATCACGCCACTTCTTTACGGCCAAGATCTAAATGTGCTTTGTGGTTCCTCCCAGTCAGGAGGTGTGTTTCGACAATAGTGCTTAAGTTGCCAAACATGTTTTTCAACCACCTTTGCAAGAGTGTTTGTTTGTTTGTTTGACTGACTGCACCTTTCCCACATGTCACCGTTTAGAAAACCTATTGTTATCATGCTGGACCAGGTTGGTTGATATTTATGCCGCTGAGGTCTAAGCAGGTTAGTTCTGGTAATCAATCAAAAATAGGGTTGTATTCTTTTAATTATTTATGGTGCTTTAAAGCGATGAGGCTCCAGGGGTTATGACAGTCAGCGCAAAGCATAAAACAGTTACTGTTTTATTGGCTTTTTGATCCAATTGGTGAAGTAATTTGTGCCTCAGACAGACCTGGTAAGACTTCAGCTCCACTGTAGGTTAGTTTGTGTGCTGAACCTTCAAATATTAACCCAAGCTATCAGCTCGTTCTTTTCATGCCTTTGTGTTGTTGGTTACTTTCACTCCCTCTTTATCATTCTACGATAAGTTTGATCCCTGTTGATAATGGGAAGTAAATACATTAACATTATTTCTAGATATGTTGAAGTGTTGTCTAAAACTGTGGTGTGCAAGCATGTGTTCTCTTTAGGTAAGGTAGCCCATTCCATCGTATTCAATGATAGAAAACAAACAAGCAGAGGCCTCTTAATGGTGGGCTTGTTGTATTGACCTGTGTGGTCAGAGCCCCCAAGGACATTAGTTGGTTTTCTTTAGTGAAAGATTTCTTTAGGGAGAGAAAGCTAGAGAGATTAGAAGGGCTTTTTAACACTTAGTTTTCAAGCCTTTTAATGTCAGATTATCTACTTGGAGCACAGCTGTCAGTACTGTAATAGCAATTAGGAATTTTAAAAGGTTGCATTACAAAAACCTGTGACTTCTCTCTTGCAATGCTGTCAGAGTAGACCAATGAGCACGAATATGGCTATAGAAGATCAAGCATATATGTGTTTCACTATTACCTGTGACACCTTTACCACGTTATGGTGTGTTCCACACCTGCAGTTCAGTTCCTGGGAACAGTCTGATGGATAATTGACCTGCTGTCAGGCTGCTGCTGCTGACTGTACAGGCTTGGCTTTGGTCTGGACACTGACAACATGTCACAGCCTGAAGAGCTGCACGTGAAGTAAGACCTCACAGACATTGTTGGTTTTGTTGTCGTTGTGACAGCGCTTTCAACACTTTCAGACCACAGCCAGGAATACTGACTACTGGCTTCAGCAGTGACTTAAGTAAATTATTTAGCGTTATATCGTGACATGGAAAGCATGTGGAGTCACATCTTCGAGTGATTCACACAACCGGTTTTTGAACACTATAGAAAAAGGCTGCATAATTATCAATTTGTTTTATGAACCCGGACCTACAATGATGAAGTGACTGCTGGGTGTGGTTAAAGTTTCCCTTGAACAAAATGTCAAGTTAATACCTTTTGTAAAAGGAACATCATTACATAATGTTGATGTGTTGTGCCTGTTGCTACAATGACTGTCGACATGTAGCTAAGAAAGCAAGTTATGGGAAGAAATCTGACTGAGACGTAGACTGAGGAGGATGTAGTGCAATAACCTCATTACATCAAAGTCAAGTTTCCAAACCAAGTCTCACTTAACTTTGTAAATGTATTAATGTTATGCAAAAAACAATGCAGTATACTGTAAATGACAGAGCAGCTAAATCTTTATTTTGAGACTGGTGCTGGGAAAGAACAAGTTTCCTTATCGTTGGCATGTATTTGTGATTTTTCCTCACACTGGAACATTTTTGATCTTTAGGTTTTATTTTTTTCTATTGATTATCTTTTCTTTATCTTAGCTTATGTTAGTTATTCTGCTGTGCTTGGTGATGTGGTGCACCCTCTCATAGTGTACAAACCTGGCAAGAAATTGGCTTAAGAATACGCACTGCCAATGAAAGATATGTCATTTACATGATTATCCGTAGTGATTGTTTCCCAGTTTGAATGGTCCCTCTGAATGCCAGCAGCGTACTCTAATAAAACATGCTGATTTGCAGTGTGTGTTTGACTTTAGGGCCTGAAACAGTTACCACAGGGCCTGCTCCGGCACTCCCTGCTGCTCTTATCAGAGTTGCTTTCAGCCACCACCACCTCACCTCACCTCTGCATACAAGCCGTCAGCTACACTGGAGAGCAAACTGTGATAGGACCATGTTCAAAGGCCACTTCCTCCCCCTCATCTGTGGAAATGCTTTTCAGAGGGTAGAGTGAGACTGAAAGCTGCTTTTAGAGGACATTTGGAAACCTAGTCTGTGTTATCATGTTGAAGACAGAACTTGATGTTGAAAACATTTCACTTTTTTGCTTCCTTTTATTATACAGAATTCTATCTTTGGATTAAATGTACTAGTACTACATCTGCATGTTTGATGGCACGTTCTGCAAGTTGCAACAGGGTACAGAAGGGAAATGTGGATAATGATCTGTTGGCAATGGAAAGGACTTTATTAAATACTATACAGATCATGATGTTCATGAGCTTGTCTTAATGTCCTGTTGTTTCTACTAATCTGTTGTCAGTGTGGGCTTTCTCTTCTGTTCAGCTTGTTTGTTCAGTTCAAATGTTTTTTTGACACAGTGGAGAAAGGGAGTGGGTGTGCCACTACGTCATCTGAAACGTTTGCTTTTCTCTCCGTAATCCGGCTTTAGTAATTTGCCAAGGTGGAGCTGCATGCACAGCTATGAGCAAACACTAGTCCTGTTATCACTGCCAACATGAAATTGTCCTGTATGGTTGCGCCTGCAAAGTGCTGGTGGATTAATCTACACAACTTTGGAGTAACATAGTTTTGGATTTCTGTGTTTAACGTTAGAACAGTAAAAGCTTCAGGTATTAAGTGGGATTTAAAGAAGGCACCTGACTTTTTATTATTATTTTAGAGCGTTTAGACCCATGCTACTCCTTGAGAGAAATAAAAACACAGCAGAGACCGATTTATTGAGAATATGCACATTAAATGAGTGAGGGAATTCAAATGTAGGTTCTTAAATTCCACAAACGTTGTCTTTTACTTCTTGTTTTCTACTTACTTATCATAACAATTGAAGAAAAGGGCAGGTAGATTGTTGTTGCCAAGACATTTCAGATATTTATTTTATTGTACAGCATGTATGATAATTATAGCCCCTAAAAATAGAACAATTTGTGTCTGGGTTCCACCTTTTTAGTTTAGCATAATATTGTGGTTACATAGACAGCTAGGCATGTGGCGTGTCCTTTCACTAAAATGAATCGTTAACCTATTGTTCTGGCATTCAGTTTATTGTAACTGCCCTTCATTATATGTCATTCAGGTGTGGAATTAAAATGACAACACAGCACAACCTTCTCCGATTCATCCTGTTGTGCATCTGTGGTGTGATGTCAATTAAAAACCCCTGTATCAGATCCGGGTCACCATGCAAACATTATTTTTAATTATTATTTAAAATAATTATTAGACAATGTAAAAAAAAAATACATAAACATACATTATCTTTTTAATGTTTACCCACTCTGTAACGTGTGTTGTAATATCTGCAAGTTGTCTTTTTGGCTTTAGTAAGGTGACTTTCTGCCACAAAGAACTGTTGCAGCTCTCGTGTTAAGCCCAATTACTCAATATCATTGTAAAACAAATGATATGCTTTCCTTCTCAACTGAGCCATAGAACAACTTTCGGAAGCTGCAACCAACAAGATGTTTGATTTTTTTTAGTGTTTTCACATGACCTTGACCCAGAACAGGGGCTTAGTGAATGAATGGTAATGACTGTCTATGCCTAAAGTCATTTTTGCACAACTGCAAACATATTTCATTTATAGTTTGCAAATATTTGTAATTCATGGTTTAGCGACCAGTGATTATAGGTCTGATTGTGTTCATGGGCCCTAAGTGTTTTTTCTTAGATCAATGATTCTTTCAGCTTTCTGTCCAGACCCCCCAAATCTAACCCAAGGCATTTGTTCCCTTGTCAGCAGCTGGTAAGCGTTGCCAAATAGTCCTGCATGGCTGTTGGGGAGCATGCCTAAACACGCACCTCTAATACTCTCCCACTGTCTGAAGATAAGTCGTATATAGCCAATGGCCATGTGAAACTAGGCAGTCGCCAACACACTGAGACAGTCTAATTTAGCACTTACACTGGTGACTTTGAGGGGGTTAGGGAAAAAAGAATAACAACAAGTTCTAACAATTTTCTAAAGTGGCCAAAGACACGAGCAAAAGCTACTCCCTGTTTGCATTGGAACATTAGGCCGCAAGGGAATACCAGAGGCATTTAGGTCCATGATTTCAGAAAGATTTCAGTTTGTCAGTATCACGCAAAGCTTGTCTTTATCCACATTGAATCAACCAACTCCTAGTATGTGAACGTGTTACTAGTACTGAAGATCTCGTTGAGAATCAACAGCTTTCACTTGTTTTACCTGTCTCTATGTACAGTGGAGTCACATGTAAAAATGTAAGCATCCGCTCTCTACACTCTGTTGATCAACTGATTCAATATTTAGCAAGCTAAGATTATCAGATATTTTGACGATGAGCTGATACCTAAATAAAATGTCATAGAAATGGTTTAACATGGTGTTATTTTTCTGAGACGGTAATCAAACGATGATATTCTCACATGGTTAGATTGGGCCTCAGAACTCTGTCCTGTGACCTCGGATGTCATTTTCCTGTATGTGTTGACATTGAAGTAATGGCCTCTGTTGACAGTGAAATGTTGCCAAGAACAGGTTGACACAACAAAACAAATAGGGCTCATTTAATGTGGTAGTTATAAATAAACATGTACATACAGTATGTGGGAGCTGCTGGTATGAAGGATTGTGTGTTGTAACTGTCAGCGTAAACTGTAAAGGCAGGCAGGCAGGTTGGACCCGTAGTACCCGTACGGGTTGTTTTTCCTCCAGCTGTGACTGCTTGTCGTGCTGAAAGAAAACTGTGATTAGTGGTGTGATAATTCCTCTCCTTTGTCTCCTCCCTCGCCAGACAAACACTGAAACCTGTTAGCCTCGTTTGTAATAAGAAACAAACACGCAGTATAATGTCAAACACGCCACCTTCACTTGTATGCCTTTAAGATTAAAGCACACTGTAATTCTCATTTTAGGTGGTGTTTGCACATATTTTAAACCAGATATTGCTATTTTCTTTATAAATGTTTGTAAAGCAATGTGAATTAAATCATTCCAAATAAAGATAGTTTTGATTGTTTTTCCTTTTAATGGGTACAAATTCTGAAGTATTGTGATAGTGTTTCATTTTCTTTTCTCCTTCCTTTTTATTTCTTTATGCAGTTCCAGCAGTCGGTGTCATCAGAAGTGAAATCCCTCGGCAGAAACTCGTTCACACTTTGTGTCGACAGTCCGCTCGTCATCCGACAGGCACTCCATCCAGAAGCTTCCACAAAGGTAATTGTTCATACTGTTGTTGCACACGCCTGTTTGAACCATAAGGTAACATTTTAGACTTGGAGATACAACAAGAAAATGTTTCTAGTAGCATTTATCATTTTGCATTTGCACATTTTTGTTGTATCTCCAATGTACAATAAGCGTTTTGCATGGAACAATGGCAATTGCTTTGTTCAAATGAAATGTCTTAAATGTGTATGTTTCCATTAAAGTTTTGCTAACTGCAGTTATCCCACTAAACAAATCAATTTCTCGTTCTCTGTGCATGGCTCCAGTGAAATCATAGTGTCTGTGATAAGCATGCGGAAACCAAACACACTGTTAATTTCCAGTACTGAGTTAAATGCGCGTCAACGTAAGGATTTGTTACCCTCACGAACGTGGGCATTGTGCAGTATTAAGAATGAATGCATTTAATTGGAATTATCATTTCCTCTTTTTTCTTTCCTGGTATTATCACAAGAAGAATCATATTTACATTTCATCTTTGCTTCCTGCTGTGTCCATGTTGTCATACTGAATCATGTTTTTTGTCTATTTTTCAGAATCTTGTCCTTCCTGAATGTTTCTTTTCATTTGTGGACTTGAAGAAAGACTTTCAGAAATGCTGCCCCGACGCCACCCCTGCACAGCAGCTCACACCTGCCTCCATGTTGGAATGTATCCTTACTAACATTACTGAGAGATTGTTCTAAATGCTGCCATTAACTGTATATTTCAGGAATAAGACAAAATTGTCTTTTTTTCTTAGTTTTGGTTAACTGATAAAGTAGGCCTAAAACCATACAGCAAGTCACATCAGCAAGTAGTACACACAAATGATAGTTTCCTTAACTGTGAGTGTAGATGTTGGTCTCCCAGCTGTGTTGGAGCAGTCGATGGGAGAGACGGAGGTGAGCAGCATGGTGCAGCTGACCCTCCACCTCCTGGCTGAGCCCTACAGTAAGTCACCACCACATTTAATCCACTGGTTTTGTCTTTAGTGGGAAAGTTCTGTTCATTCATTTTGGGCAAAAGTTAGGCTGTAGAATTATAGGTATGTTGCAGCTCCATCTTTTAGTTGCAGTGAGTTCATTCTTACCCTTTTTTTTTTTGCGCAGATATGCTATAAAAAACCCATAAAGAAGCGCAATGTTCCCAAGCAGTTACCGGTGTAATTACCTGATGTTTGGGGATATGAAATCAACACTGTGACTGCCAAATTAAAGTCTTTGTATTCTAACAAAACCTGTCTTGCACATTTGAATAGCATGGAATCTTTGAACAAACCCAAATGTCACAGTGAGAAACACTTCTAACTCTAAGGTGTGTTAGTTTGTTAATCACATAATATCTTGATTATATTATTGCTAGCCAGAGATCCTTCTATACTTAAACAAACATTAGATAATTAACTGCAGTATAGATGGATGTTATATGACTCCTGATATGTTGAAGTGCAAATAAATCAAACTTTAATCGACATCTTGTATCTCGACTGTGGCAGTCGCCTCTGGCTTTACCCCCTTAATAACAGCCAAGCATGTCTTTGGGTGTGACAGTAACAGGAATGCAGAGGGCTTGAAACACACACTGTTGGCAGAGTGAACCTGTTCACCGCAGAAAGGAGAGAACATTGTTTTGGACCTACAGGATGAAACGGCACACTCAATCATACAATTATATGTCTTTGTTTTATTTTAGACCACAAGTTCTCCTGTGTGGAAACGGTGAAGTACAAGTTCGATTCTGGCACATGGTATGTATAAACTTTTCATTTATGTACATGTATCTCACTCGATCTCTTTTCCTAACACACCTGTTTGTGTACAGACTGCCCCCCCACCTCCTCCAGCCATTTTCAGACCTCAGGCCTTTAGCATTGATTACAGCTACAAGGAAACCACAAGTGTGTCATTAAAGCTGTCCAACTTTGCCATCAAGTGCTTACCTGGCTATCTAGTAGCAGAACACCAAATCCTGCTGCTCTCAGACAGGGAAAAGCCTATCACCTTGACAACCCCCTGACATTTAATCATGTGTTACAGTGGTAAGCACTTACTGTGAGTGGTCTCTGTGTCTGCAATCTGTAGACGGTTTGATCAAACTTAACAAAAGCGTGGTGCTTTTTCTTAAAGCTAAACTAATCAGCAGGGTTTTTAATAATCTGTTTCGAATAATTCCAATTTAGTACGTTTTGTTTATATGTCATTAATGTTTTTTTTACCCTCTTCAGCAGCAAAACAGAGCCGGTGGACAGTGAGACGGTGATCAGAGCGCGGGGACTTCCATGGCAGTCTTCAGACCAAGACATCGCTCGCTTCTTTAAAGGCCTCAGCATTGCCAAGTAGGTTGGACTTGATGGACACAATTCCTTAAGCCACCTTAATCAAATAATCTTTATTAAAACTTCTACAGGAAAACATTTAAAGTGATTTATAGAGCGTTCAAAGTATTAGGGTGCAGATTTGATTTCACTGCTCTGGCATTTTCAGTGTTTTCAAGGTCGTATAAAATGCTTATTTTAATGTCCAATGGATGAAGATGAATGTAAAATGCTTATGTCATGTGTTTTAAAGACACTTATCAGTTTTGTACAGTAGGCCAAAATAGCTGTAAGAAAATCCATGAAACCTCAAGGCATGGCTGTAAAATATGAAAAAGATTAACTTGAAGATAACAAAAGTACTGAAATATTAGGATTAGAGTTAATTAGCAACGCCTTGATCTGTCACTGTTCTTGGGCAAATATATTCCGTATAGCTATAGCTCTCATTTCATTTTATTTATGACTTTGTAGGAAGACCTGTGCCGGAATGAGACATCGCTTTAAAAGCTTAAAGGAGCTTTCCTGGAGCTTTTCTGGACCAAATGATCTGTGTTGGTACTCATGTTTGTCTCTTTGCACGTGTGTTCCAGGGGTGGCGTGGCCCTGTGTCTGAACGCTCAAGGCAGGAGGAACGGTGAGGCCTTAGTTCGTTTCATAAACTCGGAACACCGGGACCTGGCTCTCGAACGTCACAAGCACCACATGGGCAGCCGCTACATTGAGGTTATTCTCTCTCTGTTCTTTTAATTCTTTGCTAAACACAATATCACTTTTAGGTTTTGCTCTTTTGTGTGAATCTCTGAAATGTCTTCTAAACTAAATGATTGATAAATAAAGTGCTTCAATGCCTAAATCTAGTTTTCCTCTTGTCGACTCAGGTGTACAAGGCCACAGGAGAGGAATTCCTCAAGATCGCAGGAGGTAAGATTTCAGATCTGTTTTCCCTCTCTTCTCCTCCCCATGTTTGTTTGAGCACTCGTAGTGAAAGGCTTTCTGTTTGTGTGAGGTAGACTTTTATTTCAAGGCTTCCCGCATCTTTGAGGAAAAACAAAAACACATCTGTAAAAAAGGCAGCTCTTTAGTGACCCTTAAAAACAGGGGATCTCATTTGCGCTCCGGCTCTCTCTCCTATTACCTGTGACTTTGCCTCATCCCAGTGACTCTCCTGCAGCTTATCTGGTACTAATGAAAGACGCTTTGTGAGGAGCTTCCCCCCTCTGCCCCCCCCCCCATCCCTTCCTCACCTCCTCATCCCCATCTAAGTCCTGCAGAGGCCAGTTGGAGAGAAATTTCACTCTCGGCTAACAGCGGCTCACCTGTTCAATGCAGCCTCGAGCGACACTCCCCCGAGGGGGAGACGGCTGCCGGCCGGGGAAAGGACCGGCTCAGTGCTGACACAAAGGGGGTGTGAAGAGACAAAGGCAGGGCCCGGGGTCTCTGGACCGCAGAGCAGCAGCCTCCAGTAACACAGGACAGAGATAACACACAAAGGAACAGTCACAGAGCAGATAACTTACAGTGGCTGCTGGTCCCACTGTGGACTTTACTCAAATGAGTTAAGATCAGCACATTGGACTCTAAGCAAACACTGTAGGTCCAGCAGACAAGATACAAGTGCATTTATCAATAGAAATTAAAGCAGTTCACTATAACCGTGTAAATAAATGTATAATCCAAAACCTAATGATCATGCACTGACATCTTTGTGTAGGAGAATGTTATATTGTACCATAAAGAGCAATTGACAAATATGGGCTTGGCATCTCCTGGCTAGTAGTAGCATGAAGAGGGAGAATAACAATAAATGTGGCTCCACTAATTAGAAGGTTAGTGGTAACAACCCTGGCCCCTGCAGTACATGTCAAAAATATCCGTGCAGCAAGATACTAAAGCCCAAATCAATTTCCATATGAGTGTACTTAAAATGTATCGCTTGTGATTAGCAAGTAGCACCTTGTAAGGTAGCCTCGGATCCCAGTGAGTGAATTGGTGATAGCTGGCTTGTTTTGTCAAGCGCTTTGAGTTGACTAAGACTAAAAAAACTGCTATATAAACGCAGTTCATTAACCATGTGTTGTCTAAAGAGTGTTACTGGGATGGTCGTGTGATGCCAGGTGTTTAAAAATGTCTGTTCTCTGACTCCAGGCACGTCTAACGAGGTGGCCCAATTCCTGTCCAAAGAGAACCAGGTGATAATCCGTATGAGGGGCTTGCCCTTCACCGCCACATCCCAGGAAGTGCTGTCCTTCCTCGGCCCTGAGAGCTCCGTCACAGACGGTGCGGAGGGTCTGCTCTTTGTCAAGTACCCCGATGGACGGCCCACCGGCGACGCCTTCGTGCTTTTCTCTTGTGAAGAGTACGCCCAGAATGCCCTGAAGAAGCACAAGCAGATCCTGGGGAAGCGCTATATCGAGCTGTTTCGGAGTACTGCAGCGGAGGTGCAACAGGTAAAGGATTTTATATTGTGACCCTCGGTACAGTTATATTGGCTGGGAAATGTTAATAGAAAGTAGACTATACTTGATTTAACCTTATTTTCATTTTTATGTCAGTCTAGTTAAGGCCTTTTTGTCTTTTGCCGAGTTCACACAGGAGTACTTTTCCCCGTACTTTTCGCGTTTAGTTCAGTTAGTACCCCTTATGTCGCGTTCACACCAAAAAGAGTACTTAGTGCCGGGAACTTTTACCCCCATTTTTAGTGCCTGCTGAGAGATGGTACTTTCCTGGGGGAAAAAAGTGCCCCAGTTCTGATTGGCTGGGCGAATTGCAAACCACGGCCCGTAAAACAAAATAAAACATGGGAGCGGTGGAGATGAGGAGGTGTCGGCGTTCTGGCGATTTACTCGGAAGGCTTCAGTAGACAGCAGCTTCTACTGAAGCCAGTCCCCAACTCCGGGGACTTCCGGCCGGGGACTCCGGGTGGCAGTATACGCCGTGAAGTGGTTTGCGGGCCTGCCAGTAAACCCAAAGCAGAAGAAGACGAAGTGACGTCAGCGGCTCATTTGCGTAATCTTCCCTCAGGGAACTTATTCCGGTGTGAACGCGATCTGTACTAAGTGCCCTGGGGTAATAAGTGGATCCCCATTAGCACTAGCATGAACATTGGCTATTCTTCCTGGAGTCCTCACACACACAAAACATACATAAACATACATAAAACAAAACTAAAATTTATACCAGAGTTCCACTGTGGGGAATAGCATTAAATGATTATTAACCGTAATAGATTTAAGGCAGGCAACGAGCAGTAATGACTTTTCAGATTCATCATTCTCATCCTCTTTGCTCTCTAGGTCCTGAACCGCTACATGTCCGCTCCTCTGATCTCCACCCTCCCCCCCTCCCCCATCGTGCCGGTCCCGGTCATGGCCCAGCCGTACCTCCCAGCGGCCAGCAGCAGTCGGGACTGTGTGCGCCTGCGAGGCCTGCCCTACACCGCCGGCATCGAAGATATCCTGGAGTTCATGGGAGAGCACACCGTGGACATCAAACCCCACGGAGTCCACATGGTGCTCAACCAACAGGTCAGACTGCTGGGGGGTCAGAGACAAAATGTAACTGTGAAGGTTCACAGTCTTAAAACCATATTGAATGTCGCTCGTCTTGTTTTCTTGGTCATGTTCATACATTTTTGTATTGTAGCAAGTATTTAAGCACAGATAAGATCACAAGCTGTGACATGTTTTGTTAGAATTGAACTTAATCCTCCAGCCCCAAACTTCACCTACTTTAAAGGGGACCTATCATGCAAAATGCACTTTTGTACGTCTTTTATACATGAATATGTGTCCCCGGTGTTCTAGGGAACTCACCAAGTGTCAGAAAACACAACCCTCTCTATTTTCCTCCATACCCAAATCTCTAAAAAAAGGGGCTGCAACGGATCTTATAAAAACTGATCCAGATTTGAACACTGTCCTGACGTCAGGACAGTGGCGCTATGGCTATTGGGCCAACTCCACCAATCAGGAGGAGACCGCCACGGCCATTGCCGTTCGAAAGCGCTGGAGACGCTGTAGTACATATGCCAGGCCAGTAGATGGTGCTGTTCTCACAGAATCAGCCCTAGCAAAAACAGAACTAGAAATGGTCAAATTGAGCAAAATGAGGCATTGCTAAAATGCATGATCCGTTTGGTATTTTGAAAAAAAAGTATAAATATGCCTTATATAGGTATGGTCCTACACTATATTATTCAAATATAGCATGATAGGTCCACTTTAAGCCAAAGCCACTTTCTTGTCATTTTTGAATTTTTGGGAGAGTTGTTAAAGTTATTCTTGTGCCTTTTGTGTCTTTTATTCATTCTGTCTGTGTCCTCCTTTATCCTCTTCTACAGGGTCGGCCCTCTGGTGACGCTTTCATCCAGATGAAATCACCTGACAAGTCGTTCATGGTGGCCCAGAAGTGCCACAAGAAGACCATGAAGGACCGGTACGTGGAGGTGTTCCAGTGCTCCACGGAGGAGATGAGCATCGTGCTGATGGGAGGAACCCTGAACCGCAGCGGCCTCTCCCCCCCGCCCTGCAAGCTTCCCTGTAAGAGACCTCCACCAGTTGAGCCTTATAGCGGTGTTAGGATTGTCTTTTCCTATAATATATCATATATACTGATATAGACTGATTCATTTAAAAATGCTGCCCGAGCTATTAGGCTGACACCTTTCATGCCTGCATTGTTCCTGTGGACTTATCTGTTATTATTTCCAAATAGTCTTTGGTAATGTTTACAGCTTACTATACACTGCCTATATATACAATACAGCTTTGTCTCTGCTCTCCTTTGAAACACAAATGCCGGTTCATACTGGACTGAATGCAACTCTGTACTTTGCTCTGTAAGGCTCATATCTGTCTATGGGACTGGAGATTAGATTGGATTGGCAGCCATTGAAGAGCATTTTCATTTTAGGTTGATTTAGTTACTTCCTGAGAGATGTCTTTTCCCCCTTCCACCTACTAGAATTAGAGTTATGGTGATTTCTTCTTGCCGTCACTACCGGAAACACTTCACAAAGTCAGCAGTGTTTTGTGTCGCTGTGTACGGCGTTGTGCACACGGGAACGTTTGCGTTTATGCACAGTATGCGCTTTCAAAAAAGTCTTCCGTTCACATGCATTCGTTTCATTTAACGTGTCTGTTCAAACGAGACCGCTGGAAACGCTGTAGTACATATGCCAGGACTGTAAGTGGCGCTGTAACTTCCGACAAAATACACCAAAAGCAGCGAAGAAGACCCCGCAGCAGCCCCGCAGCAATGTTGCCATGGCTACCCTTCTGTTTATGCCCCGGTGGATTTAGCAACATGTAGTAGTTAATGTAATTCTCCATGTCCACTTGTTGCTGATGGTTGTGGTAGAGGAGCTGTAGATGTTGTACTAATATGTAGCATGGTCAGTAACAGTAGCACTAGCAGTAGCTACTGACAGTAGCTACTGGCCATGCTACAGCAGTGAGCAGGAGAGGTGGGGCTATCGTTATTTTGTGTGTGGCGATTGCTGGTATTCAGCGGGATATAGTAATTTCCTCAGCATGTAAATACATGGATAAATGCAACGGGGAAGTTAACTGAAAGAAACCGAATCTGTGGATATTGCATCGACCGACCAAGAAGCACGTCTCCGTGGAGAGGACGCGCTCAGAAAGAGAGATATTCTCTACAAACACCGGGTGAGCAATGAACAATAATGGCCTGGATTAGGCAGTAAAGACAATTTTGGTGTATCGCAGAGCGGACTGTTTAATTTTGTTTGTGTTGTTTGGCTGGAAAATTGTCAATATAATGGATCAATGCATGAAATCTGACTCTGTTTATTTTGTTTAAGGAGTATATTGGGCGTTAACAATTCTGGTTTGCCTTTTATAATATTATTTCATTCAAGAACCCCTTGTGCGTTTAATTAACACAGCTATTTTTGATAGTTGATCGTTACAGATGGCTACTGGCCATGCTACAGCAGTGAGCAGCAGAGGTCGGGAGAGGTGGGGCTATCATTATTTTTTCAGGAAATATTCGTATAGAGGCGATTACACGGACTCTTTGGCCCCCCAGAGAGTTTCGTTTGCAAATCTATCCACCTTGGGACCCGTTATCGTTTGTGGGGTCCGTTTCTATCGGCCTCGTGTAAATAATAGGGCTATACGCACGCGAAACTATGCAGATGCAAGCCGTTTTGTCCTCGTGTAAACGGCGCCTGAGGGTCACCACAGCAGCCCACAGCCTCACACTGATAATGGCTGTTTGTATGTAAATACAGCCACACTGGCATTTGTGTTTGTCTACATGATAGGTATGACAACCTGAAGGACACAGTAAGCTAAATAAAATACCTGGCTGGGCATACAGTTTTTTTTTTCCCGGCATGATTCTGGTCTGATGGCTTTTGCAAAGGAAACATTTCTTAATATTTGTATAAATGTGGCTGCTCTGTCCTCAGCTGCCTTCTTGTGACGCAAAAAACATGTGTGGTTTTGGTAACATTTATGGAACTTATGACACACTTATGATGGCTCAACAGTCTGATTTCATGACTGCTTTTGTTGCTTTCCCCTAAATCCTCCTCTCTTGGTGATGACATTACTTCTGGCCAAGACACAGATTGTCCTTTTTTAAAAATAATAATTAAATCTCTTGTTTTGTTACACCATCAGTTTAAACCCCAACAATGTTCGGTTAACAATTTTATATATTCCAGACTTCTTTAGTAAGAATTGGTACATTTTCTACCTTCAGTCTGATGTTGCGTCTCTCAGACACATGGTGATGTAAGTAACAATAAGACTATCATTTCACATAGGTCACATGGTTTCGCAGGCTGTTGAAATCCTCATGCAGCATGTTGTAACCGTTCCCTTACTTCTCCATATATGACAGGACTGTGCATGTAATGAACACAGCATGTGAATGACCAGATCCTCTCTCTCTGTTTCTGCAGGTCTGTCCCCCCCCACAGCCTACGCCTTCCCCACCCCCCCCCTCCATGCTCTCTGAAGCGGCCCTCTACCAGTCCCCCCTGCTGGCTGCTCCCAGACCCCCCCAGAGCATGACGCACAACCCTGCTCACGCTCTGGCCTACTACCCCCCCCAGCCACACATGTACATGAACATGAATATGAACTACACGGCGTACTACCCCAGGTTAGTGTCTCATCAGCTACATCTTCATCGGTTTGTACCTTTTTGTTCTTTCTATCTCCTCCCCATCTTTACTGACCAAACTCTCTCTCTCTCTCTCTCTCTCTCTCTCTCTCTCTCTCTCTCTCTCTCTCTCTCTCTCTCTCTCTCTCTCTCTCTCTCTCTCTCTCTCTCTCTCTCTCTCTCTCTCTCTCTCCAGCCCCCCAGTGTCCCCCTCCACGATGAGCTACTTTGCAGCACCACCTGGATCGATGGCAGCAGCGGTCGCAGCCCAGCCCCACCCTGCAGGCTCCGCCTCCTCCGTGCTGCCGCAGCCTGGAGCCCTGATGAGGATGCAGGGCCTGCCCTACAACACCGGGGTCAAGGACATCCTCAGCTTCTTCCAGGGATACCAGGTCAGCACATGTTGCAGATAAATAACCACAGATATAAAAGTGTACAGGGATGTAAATGCAACCCAAAGATGCCCAGTGTGTAAATGTGTTTCCAAGAAAAAAACAGATATTGTGCTCTATTTGTGAAATTATGAAACCTTTTGGATTAAAACTGCACCTTATTTGAAGCAGGCCCATTGCAATTAGTTTAAACCATTAACAGCAGCCCCTTGATAATGAAAGTACGTCTAAATGCTGACCAGGATAACAAGAGAGAATCTCCCCACAAACTTTAACCCCATGTGAAGGACCAGCTATGAAGATTTACCCTTTACCAAGTCACACCACAGTAGGATTCAATTAAAAGACATGTGTGCACTTGTCCCCCCTCCCTTCTCTGTGCTGCCCATATTTTTCCGTTGCCAGACGAAATGAGGTGGAGTCCTCTGAAGCAGGTATGAACCCTGATGGGTGCGGCCTCAGACGGTTTGGCACGACAGGGAGTGAAGATGGAGAGGAGGGTGGGGTGTGATGTGGAGGGGTTGTGCTGTGTTTTTTTTTTATGGCATATGATGACATTTAGTATCGGTACAACAATTATACTCTCGTGTGTGTAAAGGGGGGGTAGGAACCTTTTTTTTTTTTTTTTACTTGCACTCTGGAGATCTCTACATGCTGAGGGAGTCCATGAGAAGTCTATCTGTGAGCAGATCTGACTCCAGGCCTGACTTTTGGCTGAAGTTCTGTAATTGTATCTCTGAAGGAGTGAGTGTGTGTTTTTCTGGCTGCAGCAGCGTCTCTCACACGGCCCCTGGGTGAGAGAAGAGTTCCCACACCAGAACTGCTCTCCTTCACCCCCCAATCCCTAACTATTTCAAACTGTTTTTATTTGTTTCCTATTATAGCCTTTACAGCACGTTTTTGGTGTGTGTTTCTGGTTTGATGTGTTTTTAAGTCTTCCTCAAAGAAGTATTTTTGAGAGTGTATACCTCTTCATCTTGTGTGTATGTAAAGCTGTGTACTGCTCAAAGGCCTCTCCCCACCCCTGACTGTGCGTTCGTTATTGTGCCGTCTGTAGTACGCCCCTGAGGAGTACAGCGGCATGGTTCAGATGAGCCATCAGGCCAGGAGTCTGATTCAGCCCAAAGAATGGCTCTGTCTTTAGGCACTCACCCCAAGGTAAGAGGAGCCGCCGACCGAAGAGACCCAGAGTGGGCAGAGAGGGCATTTCCTGCACTTAAATAACATCTATATGTTGAGGCTCATGCACAATATGCAGCACTGGACTAACATCACACTACACAATGAGCACTGATGGTGATTTGTGTTAACAGTTAAATAAGGCTGGTTGAATATGAAGTATATCTTTTAAATGTCATACTCTAGCATTATGTTATACAAAGTATTTCAGTAAATAAATGTGTAGCATGTGCCAGATACACGTTAACATATAGCAATTTTCTACGTAAATAATAGCATATCTTTTAACTAGCAAATCATTGAACCAATGCTTTCTGTGACCTTACCAGTTAGCTCCCTGAAGCTAAATGCTTATGCTAAATACTTGCAGAATTGGCGCTTTCACACCAAGTACTTTGCCGTCCTTAGTTCATGAGAACTTAGTTAATCAGAACTCTTTAGTTCTGATGAACTAAAGAGCAGATCACGTTCACTCCGGAATAAGTCCCTGAGGGAGGATTAGGCAAATGAAGCCGCTGACGTCACTTCTTCTTCTGCTTTGGGTTTACTGGCAGGCCGCAAATAACTTCACGGCGTATACTGCCACCCGAAGTCCCCGGCCGGCTGGGACTCCCAGTAGCTTCTACTGAAGCCTTTGTTGTGTTCAAAATTCCCGGAAAGACAGACGACTTCTAAGTTTAACTATTTATTATGAGAGAGCAAAATATATATGGTCACTTGGCCAAGGACTCCGTCACGTCATAGAAATTACAGGCAGCTAATCTGTAACCACTATTTCCGGAAAAGAGCCTCGAACCTCGTGCGTGCATACATTTTGATTACACAGGGCGTTGCCCGTACATTTATGATTGGTCAAGACTAGATGAAGAGATACCATGGTTTAGACTTGGTTCTCTTTGGTAGGTGCGCAGACTTAGAAAAAAGTCTCTTGGCAACACAATCCTCCAATCAGCATTCGGCCGGCCTGTGGAAGTCCCTCCCTACTCTGGCACCATCATAAGTCATTTGTTTTTTCTGAAGCTTTCTGCAGATATAGTGGATTCTTCATAATGCTGCTTCCTAGCTGCGTGTGCTCTTTGTATTCTGCCAGTGTCTGCACCTGACCTTGCTACTCTGTTATTGCAGGCTAAAACTTTCATCCATCAAACCGTGGGATTGCTGATCTTGTCTATTTATTTTATAGTCATAGCAATCTCATGAGCACAATAAGCATATAATGTAATAATAAGGATCCCTCTTGTAATGTTATATAAAAATAGACTCCACACCTTCCGAGTAAATCGCCAGAACGCCGACCTCTCCTCATCACTCCACCGCTCCCACGTTTTATTTTGTGTTGCCATAAGTTAGTCTCTCTCCGTTGGTGCGCTGGGCTAATGCTAATGCTAATAATGCTAATGCGACCAAATAAAATGGCGGCTTCACAAAACGTTTTGGGAGTTTTACGGGGCGTGGTTTGCAATCCGCCCAGCCAATCAGAAATGGGAACCTTTTTCTCCCATGAAAGTACCTGCTCTCTAGCAGGGACTAAAAAGGGGGTGGAAAGGTTCTCATGAACTAAGTTCTAGTTCCGGATTTTTTTTGGTGTGAACGCACATTTTCGGAACTATACTGGGAAAAGTACTCCGGTGTGAAAGCGCCTATTGTAGCTTCCTAAATAAGGCGAGTGTGAAACTATGGATAATTAATGTGACATGAAATATCATTACCTTACCATGATAACAAATCACCACACACACCATTAAACACACGCCAGCCTTATGATACATTTCCAGCCCTAATCGGAAGGAATGCCCGATCTACCCACCGAGGCTCTGAGCTCCTGACCCGCATGTCGACCCGCCGCTTCCCAATCTGCCTCCTCCCTGACGTCTGTCCTGTGGGCCTGATAGGAGTGCTGAGTCCTGACACTTAAATAATAATACATATCACACACAATGTATGAGATATTGGGAACATTTAACCACTGTTTGGGTAATTGTTAAGTACTTGAAGTGACTACAGGTTAAAACAATTGTCACGATTAAAGAATGTAGATATGATAGTTGATATATCACTTTACAGCTTAGACTTGTGGCTGCACCGCCTCCTGCAGATAATTTGCATGCTTGTAAAAGATGACACCCGCTCCAAGCAGGAAGTTTGGTGTTGCAATAAGTAATTTGAGGATCATTTATTGTCATTGAGCAACACAGAAAATGCAGTTACAACCTGGTGGATTGATGCCACACCAGACAATCGACAATTGAGACCTTCACAAACAATTGTGCTATAAATAACTGGTAAATGAACAGTATTTTTGTTACTGAACAGAACAATTAGACAAACATTAAGATGCTTTCTTTGAATTCTGCCTCTGCTTACATAAATATAAGTGTCAGTCGGTCTTGATTCAGCACTCCTACACTGAACCTCGTCATGCAAATTGTTTCCGAAACATTGCCTAAACTCTTCCTCAGCTCTTTCCAGTGAACGTCCTGAACGCAGCGCCTCCCTCTCGCCTGCTCTCACATGTTACTCTCTAACTCATTTCATCAGTGTGTTGTTTCGAATCTGCATGTCTTAAGAATGTATCTCCTTTTGCATTATAATTGATTTTGATGTTGATGCATGCAAACTAAGGGTAGTTCCTGTGTGGCACCCCCCCACCTGCCGCTGGGTTTCAGCTGCTCTGGGAACAGCATGTCCTCTGCTTCTGCTCTTTAAGCTCTGCCCATTAATCTTTTTTTTTCCTACCTAACTGGACCGGTTTGATGAGCTGATCGTCTCCAATGTTCCTCCTCGGCTTTGTGGGCTCCCCCTGGTGTTTTCACAGTGGCGCTGCATCAAAAATACTTAATGTGTCTCCGCTTTTTAACTGCAGCTCCAGCCAGACGCCGTGCTCATCTTGTACAACTACAGTGGGCAGTGCAGCGGCGAGGCGTTGATCACCTTCCACAGCGAGGAGGTGGCCAGGCGGGCCGTCAGCGAGCGTGCCAACAGCCCCTTCTACGGCCAGCCGGTCCGCATGCTCCTGATCCACTGACCTGCTCTCCATCTCTCTCCTCCTGTAATTTAACCCCCCATTGAAGAGCACTCATCTGCCAATTGCTTTACATGTAGCAGCAACTTTTTAATTTGATCCCAGTGCCACTAAAAAAACAATATAAAAAAAAAGCCCTCCCTTTTCCCCGATCTGTCGCCCTGACACCGCTCGCCCTGACACCGCCTGCCCTGACACCGCCTGCCCTGACACTCCTGAAGCAGCGTCTGGAGTTTGAGTATCCACTGGTGACGCCTCATGTCGGGCTTATGACTCTGTGGATGTTACACACATTAGTATTTGAGCCTACTGTAATAGCTGGTTGTGGAGACTAGAAGGTGAGGAGCCTGGACAAATATGCATGTATATTTAAATGCTCTTTATATGCCCCTCCCCATATGACTGTACAGATGTTCATCCTGAAATGCTTGAGGCTTTACAAACCACTTCTGCACACCATATTTTCTGTATATTTCTTATTTTTTCCCTATTAACCACTACAAGGATTTTCAGAGTTTATGATTCTGTGTGTTAGCTCGATGCTAACACAGATGTGTGTATGCACACTGTTTATTGAGTTGATGACCTCCAGCAGTGTAGTGGTGCCATTACAAAGAGAGAAGCCATGAAGACTACTGAAGCAACAGAGTGAATATCAAACTGTACTGCTCACTGGATAATTTATAACTAACCTTGGCTGCAGTGACGATTGGTTAAAACGACTACTTTTCTGTTAAAAAGCATTTATGAGTTTGTCAACCCATTGAGACTTTTACAAGCACTACAGATTTATTTTCTCTACTGTAAGATTTAAGTGACAGAGCGTCTTTAACTGAGTGGAACGACAAATTAATTCCATTTTTATTAACTTCACTTCCTTACATTTTGATATATGACCAGAGGCGTATCTTGAAGCCTTTTATAATGATCGACCTCAGCTACTAGATCTCTTCTGTTTTGGTTTCCAACGATCAGTCTGAAGCTGCTTTCATTCCTGCTTCTGACCGAGTGCTGTGTAAAAGCTGCAGGAGTTGTTCTGTGACGGGCCTGCCCACAGCTGTCTGAGTTTATCCCCTCCCACTTTTTACCATGCCTACATTACCCAGAGTGCAATACTGGCCAAAACGAGGCTAGGTCAACCTCTGGTGGCAGAGGAGAAATGAATTTCTTTTGTTGCAAGTTTGACACTTGAGTTTATATCTGTGTAAGTCAATACAATAAATAATGTTAAAATCTATTCATGTTTCATGTGGTCTCATTTTAAGAGATGCAATCATAAGGTCCTAATAAGTAATAATGCCAAACAAAGAAATATATATGATCTTTTTAAATGTGATGTGGAAAAGCCTCCCGCCCGACCTGAAGTCACCGGGCGAGGATAAACGTCTTCGTGTCATATGTTTATAAAGATGCAACAACTCCTATATATTTATTTCTGATTGCTCTGCTTTATGCAATTATAATTGTTTTAATAACACTAGAGGGTGCCACATCTGGGGTTTTAAATGTTACACATTACATGTCATTTAACCCTGCATTGCTTAATAAGTCACCTTGTTATACTAACTTGCCTCGACACATGCTGCAGTTACGCTAAGCTTTATGAAAGATAGTTTGCAGCTCTTTGCTCTATATCATCTCAGTAGTTTGTGTTAAACCTCTAAGTAAACGCTTGCCGTATGCAGAGTCTGAAGAAAACACTTTCATTTGTAATACATGCAGAAAAAAGGAGACACAAAGACATAGATGCATTTTCAGTTTTATTGATATACACTACTTTAGAGCCTACAGTATGATGCAAGGTATTCCCTTTGAAGAATTTCAAAAAGCACTGCAGTCTTAAAAATTACAAAAAATGTAACATACAAAATATACAAGAAATGACAATACAAGGCTCGGTAAACATCAGCTAAACCTGTATTTCCCTTTTATTTTACAAAACATATATATATAAGTACACACAAGTATATGCACATGTGGGTGTATATATATATATATATATATCATATCTTATGTGTTTATATAAACATGTGTGTGTATATATATATACATACATACATGTGTTTATATAAACATGTGTGTATATATGAAATGTGTATATATAGATATATACTATATATTTATATATACCATATATATTCAACACTCACATGTCCCCAACCTTTTAGGAATGACATCCATTTGAAAGTATCAAAAATCGAGTGGTACAGTCTCTGTCTGACGGGAACACGTTGTTCGCTCTTTGGTTGAGACAAGAGGACAGAGTTTACTGTCCATGCTGGTTTTCTATTCCTTTTTTTTGACTCGGGTCTTTCAAGCTGCAGAACCAGCTTTATATGCAACAACAACATCAAATAAGCCATCTCCCTCCTCCCAGCCAACCCTCAAAGTCCACCCTGTGCCCCAAAACACAAAACAAAGGGAATAAAACGAGTTACCGACTTCTGTCTTAGTCGTGGAGAAAAAGAAAACTCAAACAGAATACAGACACAAACAGGAGTTAAGGCATCCTAATAGTTTACATCGTGACATGATTCTCCCTCTCTGAATGCTTTCCCTTTTCTTTCCGCTCTGAATAAGCAGCTAGTTTATAATCTCATGTTTCATGTCATGTCTTACATTAGCTGCTGTTGTCGTTTGCATAGCCTAAATACACGTGTGCTTCTTAAAGCTCTTCTGTACAGCATATTTGGTAGAAACACACCTGAACCCATTAAGATGCTCGCACTGCGTCCTTAACAAGGCAGATTGGCTCCAGGATGCTAACAGAATAAATCAAGCGTCTACAACAAGTCTACTTCTATAGGCAACAAGGTTTGTTTTTCTATTTTTTTCTATTTTTTCTCCTCATTTTAAAAGGCATTAGGCAGAATTTTAATGCATAGCTAAATCATTTTCACCTGGAAACTGACTTGAAAACGTCATAAGCAACACTCCTCCGCTCTCACATGCAGGAGCATCATTGTCAAGCTTAAGGCAAGAAAAATAATCAGTTCTCCTCCACGCCTGAAGACCCTCTCAGGACCCTCTCAGGACCCCGTTATTGCTGCCGTACAGGCACTGCATATCTGTGAGAATAGGAAATATGAAAACATCATTCTGGAGACAAGTAATGAGTTTGTGAACAGCTGACATCGACTGGAGGGAACAGGAAGTGCATCCAGATGTTGTTCTCTAGACTTTGGGATTGTTTTTTTAATTGTTCATTAAGGACGGGGAACAATACATGAATGCATTATATAAACATCGTTATGTATAAAATACTATTCAAATCAGATCATTTCCCATCCAAAGTATGGTGGCGTTTAGGAATTTTGAAGGCACACAAGGGCCCCTGGGAGATGTGGGGAGCTATTGCATGAAGAGAGATGTCATTATTAAAAACACTTCTCTGTAACGTGGAAATATCGGGCCCCTTCAAATATATTTGAATGACAATCAGAGAACTCATCAGGATTCGTGAAACCATGTTTTTTTGTACACAATATTACAGTCACACTCAAAGCCAGCTGTGCAACACATGAAAAGTCGTTACTTTAGAACCATTCGAAGCTGCTAAGTGTTAATAAGGCATTTGTTCAACTTGAAGAAGACGGTAGAGGAGAGGGAGGGAGGGAGTAAATGATGAAGAAGAGGGGGTTCATGTACAGATATCTACACGGCTGCAGGGGGGCTACAGTAGTGGAATGTTGCAGGTTGCAGATCCCAGATCAGATCCTCCGGGCCCTGCACTCCAGACCTGAATGGGTTTATCAGCGTTGCATCACTGAGCCAAAAACTGGTGCCAAACTACAAATGCAGGCAGATATTTAAAAAAAATGATGGTTTGATTTGAATCGAGTAATGCAAATTTGTGTTTGTTTAAACAGTTTTCTCCAACTGTGATTAGTTTTGCCACACTTAACTGTTTGTAATCCTGATTGTTATTGTTGTTTATAATTGTTTTTGCCTTTCTTACTGAACTAAAACAACCTCGAGAAACGATTTGTATCCCAGCTCTGGCTTTCTGTGAGACCACGTTGCACTCCTGAGTTTCTGTTAATCTAATATGTCTTCTTCGTCCAAGAAGGGCGATGCTGGTGAGAGGGACACACACACACACGCGCACACACACACACACACACACCGTGGTGTTGTCTCCACTACAGACAGTTATGCAAAGGGCGAGCTCCAGTCGTAGAGATCTGATGGTTGGGGAAGACACGGGGTCGTCGCTGTGACTCCACATGTTCACCTTCTCTGTCTTCTGAGTGGAGTTGAGAGTTCTGTTTCTACAGTTTCAGTAGATTTGAAATGAAATCCGAGGAGACGTATGAGCGTGTCTGCGTGTCTAACAGGTCCATGAGGCTCCAACAGAATCACCACACGTCTGTTTCTGAACACAGTCTTTCTTATGTCTTCCTGCCATCGCACACAGCACCTGGACCTGGACCTGGCCCGTGTCGCAGGGGGGGGGGTTCCCTGAGCCAGAAGGCTGCATCAGGTCCTGGAGGGGGCGGGGCTATGACTGGTTGTGAGCTGACGGAGGACCGTGGGTGCTGGGGGACTGGGACATGTCTCTGCCGATGATTTCATTCACTGTGAAGAGAAAACAAAGAGAAAATACAAACATAAGTTCTTATGTTGCAGCTCATTCTATGATATTCTGTCTAGATTTGAATGATAGATACTTTGTAAAGGGCGTTCAATGCTGAAGCCCCGAAGCTTGATTCACTCCTGTGAAGTGCACTGGTTCATGGAATTGCTTTGAAGCTTGTGTCGTTGTGAAGAATAGGAACGAAGCTCAGGACATCTCTGTAACCTCACTGCTAGGTTTCAGACAATATCAATGTGAAACAGAGAGGAACTCTTTTTAGACAAAAGAACCTCAAGTCTGATTGAAAAGTCTAAGTGAATTGTTTATTGTCTAACAGGTTAACTGTGTCATATGTCAATAACATGTATGTGATAAATGATGAGTAACTTTCCTTTGTTGTGTTAATGCCAGTGTTTTTTTTTACTTTTATTTTATTTTTCTTCTGCATATTGGTTGTTTGTTTTGTGTATTTTAAAACCACTCTTTAAAATCAAATATATATAAGGAAGAAAGCTACTTTTTTTGCTGCTTTGATAAACATTGGTGGGAAAATAACAAAAAGAGTAACTGAGAAATAGTGCAATACATACATGTCCACTTGATGCTATGAAATAAGGTAATACAAGTCATATGCAGATGAAAACCCATCTCCAATCGAAATTGAATTGATAAAGACTGAAACTATAACTATCAATGAGAAGTTTCATGAAACGCTGGTATTACTTTTGGAAACTGTACATGTTGAATTTGCCTTTAATTTTTACAGAAAAACACAAAGAAATCCCTCAAGCTTCATAACTTTAACTTCCATCACTTATACAACATAGAGCTCTATGTCTCTGTCCAGCAGAGGGCGGTGTTGTCCCACGCTCAGTTCCTCACAAGACTGAAAGCTCAAACTCAACCAGCTGAAAGCTCAAAATGGAAAAACTCAAATAACTGGCAGACCCGAAGGTCACCAAGTCACAGCTCTGACGTGCGCTAGAACCACCGCTCACATAACAGATGAGAGAAACTATTCCATTCACTCAAAGACATGCTAGCAGTAAGCAGCACATGGACCGTCTGTCGTTACTTCAGCAGAGCTTTAATGGAGCTCCGGTACATTTCCTCAGGCCTGTTCATGGTTTGTAAGCATGTCGAAAGGGCCGTGGGAAACCGATCCATTGTGAAAAACACGTTGAGGCACAGCGAGGTTAATTACTCCATCGACTCAGCTACAGCCTGATTTTAAATAAATAACACATTACTCTCGTTGTCCAATCACACGCGCTGCCGCCAGACCACCAGAGACCCAGCGGGGGGCGCCAGTTAAAAGAGCAGCCGTGAAGTAAATCAACTCCAAACACTTGGTGAGGAGGACACAGGCAGAGGGAAGACTGGTTCAAACTCTTCAGGGTTCATGTGGTTTATAAAAAGGTGAGGTTGACAGGTCAGAGGCAGGCTGGGTGAACTGGTTTGGGAGGGTGCAGCGGGGACCTCTGGCCCAGTGTGACACCGGGAGAGTTTACCTGTCTGAACACGACAACTCCACCTACTTACGTCCACCTGTGAAGCTCTATACTGTAAACTCACACATTCCCCTTGCCATAATACACGCGTGTTTTACCGTAAATCACTTTAAAAAGAAGGGGGCAGGGGTGACTCAGTCGATGATGAGAAAATGAACCCGACCAAGTGCTCCATTAGAGAAAAGAAACTGTATTTAAATGTGATGACACACACAGGGACATGTGTGCTCGCAAAGCAATTTAACTTTCATTAAATATGATAATCTTCACATTTCTGGTGTTACAACACTTCATCATCATTTCCTCCAGCGACAAAGTGCTTTTTTCTTGTGTATCAAATACATATATTTACATTAAACATCTTAACATTCTTCTCCAGTCTGTGTCAGAGAGTTGGGGTTTACATTGTGTTGTTTTATTTGTGTTTTCGGCTGCCTGCTTGTTGTCTGGCCACCATCACTGTCATCATCCTGTTAGCGTGGGAGGCTCTTCCTTTCCCATGTCAACCATGTTCACACACACCATCACACTCACAGCAACACCACGCACGCATGAGGCTACACTGACACTATCAAAGCAAACATCTACCTCTGTGTGTAAAACACTGAGGGACAATATACTACAAGTGGGCCGCTTCATCGATTCTTTCACTCAATTACGGATCGCTGTAATAAAACCGTGATGGAACTGATCTCCTTTAAAGGCTGCGACCTTACAAAATACAAACGGTGCAACTGTGTTGAAATAAAAGCTTCATAAAGACCATCAGAGAGAAGCTGTATCCACAAAATAAAAAGACTAGTGAAGCAACTTAGCTTCTTTTGTCCAAACTTCACATCAATTTGGTGAAATGTATATCTGTATGTTTCAGATTTCACTCCTATATCATTTTGAGAGATACTGCTCTGTAGAATTACTCTTAAATACAAGATTTCCCTTAAGTAAAAGTACAGTATTCACAGCCAAATGTACTTATTAAAGTGAAAGTACATGTTGGGCAGAATGGCCCCTGTCAGAGTTATATCCTAATATGGTATTATTGGAATATTATTATTGATGCTTTAACACAAAACAGCATCTTATTGTTATAGCTGGAGCACATTTTAACTTCTCTATGTACTGTTGTATAGTTTAACATGTACAAAAGTTGGATATTTGTACATGTATACAGTAGTAAGTTTTGTTTGTAAAATAATTCTCAAATCAATGTAGAGCAGTCAAAAGTTTCACTCTGAGATGAAGAGAAACAAGTAGCATAAAAGTGAAATACTCAGGTGAAGTAAAAAAAATACTACAAATTGTACAAGTTAGTACGTACTTGAAGTAAGTGACGCACTTTAGTGAATGTACTTTCCACCACTGCTTGTGCCTGAAATGCATTTGCACTATCATGGTCTGTATTGATTCTATGGCTGGGTCTTAACAGTGAGTTGAGGGCCTGCGCTCACATCTGAAATGTTTTGGGGTTAACTTTGTGGATTCATCAATCTGCTCCAGCACCACAAAACATATGAGAAACACAGAGCGAAGTGCGAGAGACCGACATTAAGTGGGCGTCTGCAAAAACACATGACTTTCCACTGTTCTGTTTAGATTGTTGCACAGGCCAACATTAACCCGTCTACTTATAAATAACACAGGAGACACAGAGGGCATAAACCAAAGTGCAACGTCACATTTAATCCGTCTCATTTGATCAGTCTCATTTGATCAGTACTTATCTTTACAAAAGATGTACTGAAAGAGGTTAACTCACACGATCTTTGTTAGGCTTCACTCTCGATATGACAGCCGAGAAATGAAAATCTGAACTCACGTGGAATTGAACTTCTGTCCCTGTTAAAAACTACAATGGGAAGAGTGCCTAAGTCTCTCCAGACAGAAATATAAAGCTCAATAGTTCAAACAGATGAGAAATAAAGATGCGTTGTCCCACCTCAGTGAGCAATGACCTATGCGTCAGATACCATTGAATTCAAGCTGGAGCTCCACACATCGGTGATCGAGAAGTGAAAGAGCGGTGTGAGTGGAGCCGGGCCTACGAAGAGTTTCATATGCTGATAGTGTTTCTCAGATTTACTGGTATTCGTCATGACAGAGCAGCAGCACACGGTGATTCAGCGCTGACTGTCAGCCGGAGGGAGATCCTCTACAGATGACTGGGAGGGGGGGGGGGTCCCTGATCAGAATATACATGATCAGTCAGCCCAATACTACTACTACGGCTCTCAGGTTGGCTTACATCAGGAGATTCTTCCCCCTGCGTGCTCATGGCTTTTATTGCTCATGTGTGTATGAGTGCATTTGGTGGAGGTTAAAAGATTTGTTTTCTTATTAAAAGGCCACTCCTATACACCATGATTTTAAAAAGGGCCTCTTTTATTGGCGCTGCTACTTGGACTGTCCTTTAAATGTTTGTATTGTAATGTTTGATCGTGAATGTTTGTGTCTTAAATCTATGCAAACAGGGCTAGTCATTTGTTGAATTCAACTTTATTGTTCATTGGCAGTCGGCATCAGTTAAAGTCAGGAAGAAGCAAGTGGGTTTAAATAATATAAACAAATATTTACACCACAAAGACAATTAAAAAACAAATTGTGGCCGCTATGTCAGACTTTAACAGTTTCTTGCAGCTTTTAAAAATAAATTGTTGCTACAGAACACTGAAAAAACTGAAACATGTACTTTAATGAAATGTATTAAGTCAACAAATAACTGTATTAGGTTAGTTGAAAGCAATAATATTAAATCTGCTGACATAATACATTTCATTAAAGTCAACGGTTCAGTTGTTTCAGTGAAACAGATGTAGTCATATCTACATATACTTGACACATTGTTTACATTGATTTCCTTTCACTAAAGTTAACCGTCGAGCAGACCGCCGTGATTAGGGAATCTTACGTCTCCGTTTCTAAAGTGCACGTCAAAGGAGGGATATTAAAAAGATTTCCATAATGCAAAACAGAAGTGAAATAGGCAGATGGCCGTTCACTGCGATAAACATGTCTACTGTCGAAATGGAAAATGGGCAATTATCATAACCCTCTATGACACACTGAAAAAAGTTCCCTGACCCAGGCTTAGAAAACATTACTCTGGCAGAGCGGCTTAAGAAAAGAACTGAGACTGACTGATTCTGGAGTCCAGCAAATGAAGACAACATGTCACAATGGAAACATTTGTGCAGAGGGAACAAAAAGAGGCAAGACTTGGTTTGCCTGCAAGAGGGAATATCAAAACTCAGTTTCCACTCGCTCTGCGACGACATGCTCACGTCTGCACGGAGCCTCAGGTAGAGAGAGAACGTACAGTCAATGAGCGATCACACGCACATCGGAAAATAGATTGATGGAATTGACATTGAAATCTTCCAGGATGGCTAAGAGAGAAGCTTTATTCTGGTTTAGTCATTTAGCTTTGTGATCGGTTTTATTTGAATGTAACTTTTGGAGTCGGTAAGTCACTGAGTGGGTGAGGCTCTTTCAAA